TGTTATGGTCAGTGTGGGGTAAGTACTTACTCACATGATCATAAATAGTCATATTTCAAAGCCACTTTAAACACCATTGATGTTCTTGGATCTTGTCATTACCATTTCTACTTAAATGTTTTGTTATTCAATTATATCCATGTTATGATGTAAAGTGGTAATATATGAATTTGTAAGTAAAGTCTAAGAAATGGCTATAAATAAATAGTGATTATGATTTAGAACCAATATTATAGTTCCACGTTCTAAATGCTCCATGTGGAAGGTTTTGCAAGTAATTCATAATGAGTATGAGTATATTCAAAGTAATGAGTCACACTAATCTGAAAACTGAATATAGTAACTAATTACTTATAGCCGAGTTACACCCAACTCTGGTTATGTCATTGGTATGAGTTGTAGGAACAGAAAGAAGTGCACCTTGTGTTTATCTATGAGGTTATTGACCAGGTCTTTATCGCCCCCTACTGGAGCCTCCTCAGATAACTGTGGCTCTGCTCTGTACAGCCAGTCATTGAGAGCTTGGAGAGCATCTGTGAATCTGCCAGAAAAGAGAAGGGCTTCTTCCAACTTGTGCTGTCTGAAACATAAAGAATAAGTGTAAGAATGACAGCCTGTGTGTGCTGTCTAAAGGGGAAGCAGGTACCTCTCCATAGATTTGCCGTTGACAGTGTCCCACGTGTCTTTGAGTTCAGCCAGCAGGTTCTCCAGATGTTGTCTGTCATGTTTGCTCTGAGCTCGTTCATGAATATGGCGACCGCTCTTTAGCGTGGCTTCATACATTGGTCTTTTGGTCCTCAGTTGTTTCTGAAATTCCTGTTACAAAAACATGTATTATTATTTATTTCAGAGATGAACAAATGGTTTCTATTTGTCTATTGTACCTTTTGTTCAGTCAGCTGTTGTTTAATATCCTCATGCGTTCCAGCGATCTCTTTGTGTGTGTCTAATGTTTGCTCTACATCCGACATCCACTCGATTAGCAACCGCCACGACTCAGTAAACTGAAATAAAAATCCATTCAAAATAAATATCAAAATGAATTTACTATAGGTTGTGTTCATGTTTTAAATTTCTATTTCCGTTGGGGGGCAGGTGTCAATAGAATTCTTTGGGAAAGAACATTTTAGAAATATTTCCCAAGGTCATTGAAGGTGATGTCTGCAACTTCAGCTGTGTTTAATCACAATAAATACATTATAACCCTGTAATATAATCTAAATTAGTGGCTTTATAATAAATATGTTTTAAACTTTCCCTCCCCTTGGATAAAGCATCACCAGTAAGATTTTCTGGAGGAGAAGAGAAAGACCAACGGTGAGCGGCCATCAGGGATTTGAATGTATTGTGTCCAATCAGGAAACTGTGGGACGGTCCACTGTCACTTTCATTCCAAAATTGTCCCTCCATTTTCCTAATTTAAAAGTAACTGGGCTTCACTTTTATTGATGGTGAATAGAGCCACAAACAAACCATAATATTCTTATAATTACAGGTCTAGGAATGACAAAGAAATGAGCTCTAAACTAAGACTATCCAATAGTTACTAGGAAAGATTTTTTCACTGGGCTCCACTAAAATTGTAAATGGGAATTTTCAACATTCCACCCATTTATGAACCCACCTGCTTTGCATTTTTCTTGGCCTCTTCAAGTATCCTGCTTCTTTCCACCAATCTCTGATGAAGCCTTTTATAGCGATCTTGGACAGTCATGATCAGGTTGTGAATGACATCACAGTCCTCCTTTCTGCTCATTTCCACCAGTCTGCTGCCGATATTCTCCACACAAGTTTTCTTTTCACAATAGCCATGCACCTCTTTAGCTAATTCCTGTAGTAAAAACACACAGAACATATACACAGGTGTCATGTTATTACACAGTATATTCTTAGTAGTATATTTATTATGACATTTCTTGTTTATTTTTCTTATATACTTTGTGTTTCTCCAGCTGAGTGGATACGGAGTCCAGAACAAAGCTCGGAGGCGGCAGGTTCCCAAAGTTGTCGTCACACTTGGCCATTTTGAGAAGGACCTCTTGAACAATACTGTGGAAATCCTTCGCCAGACTCAAACCTTCTGTTAGACTCGTCTATTGGGAAAACAGAACATGTAAGTCCATTTCTGTGTGTGTGTGTGTGTGTGTGTTTGTGTATCTGTGTGTGTCTGTGTGTGCATGTGTGTGTACGTATGTCTGTGTCAGTGTGTGTGCATGTGTGTATGTGTGTCTTTGTCAGTGTGTGTGTGTGTGTGTGTGTGTGCATGTGTGTGTGTACGTGTGTCTGTGTTTTTTGTCTGTGTCAGTGTGTGAGTGTGTGTGCATGTGTGTATGTGTGTCTATGTTTTTTGTCTCTGTCTGTGCGTGTGTGTGTGTATTTTTGTCTGTGTCAGTGTTTGTCTGTGTGTGTCTGCGATTGTACATGTGTCAGTGTGTTTTTTTTGTGTCTATGTGTGTGCTCGTTTGTATCTATGTGTGTGTCTGTGTGTGCATGTGTGTGTGTGTGTGTGCATGTTTGTGTGCGTGCATGCGTTTGTGCGTGCACACGTGTATCTCTGTGTGTCTGTGTGTGCATGTGTGTACGTGTTTTAGTCTGTGTGTGTGTCTATCTGTGCGTGTGTCAGTGTTTTTTTTTGTCTGTGTCAGTGCATGTGTCTGTGTGTGCACGTGACAACGTGTGTGTCTTTGTGTGTGAGTGTATGTGCGTGTGTTACCTTTCTGTCCTGAACCTTGTGGTACACAGAGGCCCATTTCTGCTCCAGTATGGACAGGATGTGTTCTAGACTGGATCCTCGCATCACTTCGCTGCTCTCCAACATCCTGTGAATGGCATTCTTCACATCTGTGTAAGTGTGTAACTTTGACTCCATCTCTGTGCACAACTCCTGCACAAATATAGATACACAAATATACACTCAATAAATGACACCACAATCAAATCAATGTGCAGTGCATTTGTATCACAGCTTTGTGGCTACTGTACCAAATGTACGTTGAGTCTTTCTGCCGCAGAGTCGGGCATCCCCCACATCGTTTTGGAAGAAGACAGTTTGACATCGGTGTTCTCCAGCCATTGTAGAATATCTTGAATCTCCATAGTAACATCTTGCACCTAAATAATTGAGTAAGTAAAATAACCATGAATATATAAACTAATCTAAAGGTGACAAGTCAGTGCTCCAAAGCAAGTTTGTATTCTTTTTAGTATTACATTACTTATCATTTTACTTTTTCTTTGTTTTTGACAGGTTTGAAGTAGTTCAAAGCTATGATAATTAATTTCTTGAGGTAAGCTATGCTTCTAAATTCAGATAGTCATTTGGCTTATTTTTTTCATCTTCATATTCATATTCTACAGCTGTATACTGTCGTCTACTGTATGTATTTCTTTGAGACAATATATTGTCTCAAAGAAATATATTGTTCGTCAATTCTGCATCAAAGTGTGTAATTTTATACTTTTACTTTAGTATGGGAGTTATGTCAAAAATGTTACAAGAATAGATGTTTATACAAGAATCTATTTATCTAATCTATTGTATATTTACCACCTGAGAATAAACTCAAGCCAGAATACAATAATGCCACGAGAGGGCGCCAACACACTGATGTAGTTGAACAAGCTGATTGGCTGAATGTGCATCACCTGACTCAGCCTGTTCTCCAGCTCCAGCTGCCGGCGCTCTGTCTCGCAGCGCACAAACTCCCAGCTCTCATTGAGTTCTTCCAGTTGGGCCTGAAGTCCGAGCGCCCCAGAGCCCGTCTCAGACAGTGTCCTGCCGGCCTGGTTCAGGGACTCCACTGTGCGGACGTGGGACATAACGTCATTGCGCAAGACCTGTGTGAAAATTAGGTACGGAACAATAAAACAAACATTAAAAATAAAAAGAAAAATATTTTTTTATTTTAGATGTTGTGTATTTTGCCTGTGTGATCAAGTATCAGTGGGTTTTGTTCACAGTGAATAAGGATAGAGCGTGATATGGTGCAGCGTCTGCAGTGATGCAGTTGAAATGAGCTGCTGCTGAGGAGTTCTGTCACACAGGAGGAGCTTGGAGTAGAGCCGCTGCCTCTCCATGTCAAGAGGAGCTGGTTGAGGTGGCTCTGGCATTTGTTTCGGATTCCTCCTGGACGCCTCCCTTGGCATCATCCTTATCATTTTTCACCGGGAGAAAGTCCAGGGAAAGACCCTGAACAGGCTGTATAGGGACTGTCTCTCAGCTGGCCTTGGAACTCCCCCAGATGAGCTGGAGGAGCTATGTGGAGGGGAGTCTGGGCGTCTGGTTAGACTGCTGCCCCCGCAACCCGGCTACAGATACAGTGGAAGAAAACGGATGGATGGATCTGTGTTTTTCATTTACCTTGTGTTTGGCCAGCTCTATCTCGCAGGCCTGAAGGTCAATGGTGACGGGACGGCCATTGTGCAGTTGTTCAGCTGTTCGGGACAACCAGGTGCGCAGCTCATCCAGAGTGTTTTGGAACTGGCCAAGCCCCAGCAGAGCAGACTCTAACATATGCTGAAACATGCCATATTATGTCATTTGTTGACATTGTTCAGACAAAAATAATGACATTTATGCTGTGTTGTATTTCTGACCTGTCTGCTGACGGTCTCGGACTCGATCATGTCCCATCTCTGTCTAAAGTCACAGAGAGGAGACACAGAGCCTGGACGCTCGGATCCTGGAGACAATCGACACACAAACCGATGATTCAGGCTTTCTATCTCAATCTTCTTCTGGTAAAGCTCACGTTTAAATGCCTGGAAAAGAATCCGTTGAATTCAAATAACCTCTCAGATAACAGTGGCAAAAACAATAAAAAACATGTCTCTCCTTCACCTTCAAATCACATAACTGGTCTTTGACTGATTCCAGATCAGTTCCAACCATAAATTCTTCAATGGACCTCAACTCAGCAGACTTCAACCACTCGAAAAGGCCCTGTTACAAAAGAAAACAACAAGTAAGGACTTTTCCCCTCGTCTCACAAACTATATGTGTTATAAGTACAAAAAAAATACACAAATACTATACAGACCTGCATTGTGTCTTGATATTGGAGAGATAATTGCAACGACTCCTCCAGTTTCTTATGACATTCCGACCAGACTTTACTGAGGTTGTTCCAATTACTGTACAACTGTAAGGGAGACGAGTTGCAATGAGTAGCATAATGTGTAAAAGTTAATTCTAATGATATATCTGTCACTTACTTCGTCAAGGGTCCTGGTGACATCTGGTCTGTCGGTGTCACCACACGTGGACATCAAATCCACCCCCACAGCACCAAGAGTGTCTAGATCTCCCTGTATACTATCGATGTCCTCCCTGAGAGTCTAGCAATTCAAGAGGGACACAATAAAAAAAACATATAAATCATTTTCAACATACATACAAAATACTTATAAAAGAAATATAAACATTGAAGGCAGTAGATACTTGACTCAAGAGCCTTTTGTCAACCAACAAAAACAAAAAAATTCTACCTTTTCCCTTGTTCCATTAGCAAATAGATAAGCCTGACGAAATTGACTAAAATGGGTTGGGATATTGTTTTACATAATTCAAACTATTTTTTACTCTAATATCATTTTTGTCAGATGTTTCTATGTAGTTGCATGCACACAAACCTGCATAGTTTCCAGGCTTTGGCAAATGGTTTCAGCGTCGGTTTGGCTTGCGTTCAGATCCATCACTGCTTGTTGAGCTTCAGCTAGAGCTGCGGTGACCTCACTGATGTCTCTCCAAAACTTCACCGCCAGGTCGAACACTTTCAGTAGCCATGTTTCCTTCTCCTTGGCCTGAGCATGCGTGTCATCCCACAATATAGACAAGCAAGAAACCTGATCCTGTATCGCTAGGAAATCCAGTGGGTAGATTATTAACCACATTGAATTTGGTATAGAAATGGAACGTACAAAATGTTGTTTACCTGTGCCAATGGATGCATCGCCACCCACTTGTGTGTTGCTCAAAAGCTCCGCGGCCTGACTCTTGACGGTGCTGAGGCTGAGCTCCAGTTTTGTCAGTTCAGCCAGAGTGTGCTTATTGTCCTGAAGCTGCTCCTGGATCCTCGGAGTGAGAGCCTGGAGTGAAGTGGGCGTCTGAATGTGGCTTTTCAATCGGTCAAGACTCTCTCGGATCAAGGTCATTCTCTCATTCAACTACACAGAAAAAATCAATACAAGTCGTAAGTATATGTTCTACTTGAAAAGGAGTAGTCATTAACTGTCATCGATTCTGCATTCTTACTTGTGTGAATCGAGGTAAGGACTCCTCGAGTAGATTAGATGTCTCCCGAACGGTATCTCTTATGGCTCGGTGCCGATCCTCAGCCTCGGTGGCCTTGTGGCAGTACTCATTTCCTTGACTAGGATTGAGTTCTGACAAGCGATTTGCCAAAGCACAAAGTCTGGAGATTAAAGGCTTGTGTTCTGCAATGGACTCCCTTAAGTCCTGTGTTAAAAACAAATCTTTTAAAATACTTTCATATACGTACATTATATATATCTATAAAAAGTAATGGTGTCTTTGATGTACACCACCAGATAAAATGATAAAATGCCAAGCCACATTTTGTTGTCAGGAAGTGCTGGTAGATTACAGAGTATAAATGGACTACTGTTGGTCTGGACAAAAGAGGATTTAAACAGGTCCTTCTACTTTACCTGTAAAAGGTCCTGTTGTTCCCTAAATGCCTTGTAGCTAATCATACTGAGGGAGAGCTGGCCAGCAAGAGTCTCAGTTTCCTCTAACCACGGGGAAACCTCAGAAATGCCTTCTGAGAACTGTAGAAGCAGTGAGTGGGCATGTTCGAGCTGCAGGACCACGTGGGAATTAGTAGCAGAAGTGATGTTGCACTGCTCCTGTAAGGCCTCCAGTGGTGTCTGTCAAAAACACACATTATAAGTTTAGGTCATAATAATGAACATCCTAACTGTGCATGTGAGCCTACCACAAGGTCTGTAGTATCTCCATCACTGTATGTCATCAGGATTTCTGCAATCTTCACCATCTTCTCAATGTTAAACCTATGTTGAAGAATTTCTACGGCTAAAACCTGTTTTTGTACAAAAACATACAAACAAATCTCGATCAATAATGACTGTTACAAATATTTTCAAATGATTATAATCATGCTGACCTTTTGTTCATGCAGTTGCTCAGATATTGTTGTTGGAATTAAATCAATGGTTTTCAGTTTTTCCAGGTTCAAAGAGGTTTCTTTGAACCAAGCCACCTCCTTCACCACAGCCTGCTCCAGCTGATGAAAACACAGAGCCACATTTATTATGCATTTGTGCTTGAGGAAAGTCATCATAAGAAAACTCTGTACAGACAAATAACGAAAGGGCAGTTCAAATACTAATAAACCTCCAGCTTAATTATATTAACTGTAAATATAAATAAAGCAGTACAAAGAAAATAGGTCAGTTTGAACTGGTGATCTGGGCCAGTTCTTTGCAGGTAGGTTGCAGAGGTGAGAATATTCCTTTTAAAAACCGGACCAGGAGGCGCTGTTGTATTCTTACAGTCCAGTCCGATGAGGTGCACACACTGCAACATGGCTATTCTCAGGCTAATCCAGCACAGCAATGATACAATTATAATAGATGTTACATGTCTTTTTTTACGGTTTTGAGCAACACAACAGTGTAATAAAAATGCAAGTTGATGCCATAATCGGTCATATTTACAGGATGCAGAAAAGGCTCATTTAGCGGCTCTAATAGACTGGTCTCACCCTCTGTCTTTCAGCAGCACATAGCACTGCATCTCCAGTGTTGGTCTGTGCTCCTGCGGAGGACAGCAGCTCCCTCTCTATGCGGCCAAGCCACAAGTGGAGGTCCTCCTGACTGGAGGAACAGCGGTTGGAGGCTTCCAGCGCCTGCTCCAACCTCTGCAGAACGTCCACACTGCTCAGACTCAGCACGGAGCAACGAATTCGGAGGCCGTCCAACTTCTCCTGTACCTGCACGGCTTCATCCTCTGGAAAGACCAGCCACATCTTAGAAGGTAGAACTAGTACATGACTAATGTGTGTATTATTACGTGTTTACAACTCTAACAAAATCCATATCCTACCTGAAACCGCTTCAATTAAGCGCTGTGCTGATTCATGAATTTCTCCAAGCCCAGATGTTTTGACTTGAATCTCTTCAACAAGAGCCTGATAATCACAGAGTTTGCACATTAACACAGATGAATAGACTGACTTTGAGAATATAACATTTGTTTAGCAACCTTGGCACGATTTGTAGCTTCTGTGAGATGCAACATCAGTCTTTCAGCATTACGCAGTTCAGCCAGACTCTGCTCCACAGAAATTAACCACTGCTGTAGACTGTCCACTCCCTCTTGGAACAACTGAGCCTTTGGTAGAATGAGCTCCAAGCTCGCCCTCCTATCAACAACAAACATTAACTTCTCAGGAATATTCTATGTGCCCATGTTTGCCACTGCCAAGCTTACCTTTGTTCAGCTTCCTGTAGTAATGACTTCCATTTCTCCTCGAGGGAACAGAGCCTAGTGTACGCATCCTCTCCCTCTTCTCCAGGGTGAGCCTCCACTAGCCGGGGACCCTCCAGCAGCATAGTATCCATACTACGTCGGCGGTCTGATAAAAGCCGTTGCAGGAGCTGAGAAAATAGCCACACATGCTACATTTTGTTTTCATAGTTTATTACAACATTAAACTGAAATTCAATTTTGTTAATCTTCTTATACTCCTTTTGTCTTGACTGTTGTGTACATAAAGGGAGCCCAATCTCATGTGTCAGTCTTGCATTGTCAAGAGGAAGGCCGGTTTCACCTCATTTAAACAATGGAAGCACAGGTGAAAGACAGCCCTGTTTACTCCAGCCCTCTGGGAATAGTGACAAAGACGCTTATTGTGAGCATGGACACACCCTTTCCCGGTGAATATGGTGCCAGTGTGGGTGATGAAAGAAGCAATTGAGTTGGGTTCCTTGAGTCAGCTCATCTGAAAGGTTGTGCTCGTCTACACTACATCTCAAAAGTATTTTAGGTTGCATTTTGGGAGAAAAGTGTGAGTGATTGTTGATCCCACACCTTTTGTTCCTGCAGCTGGGCTTTCACCACTTTGACCTCTGAAGACGCCAGTTTTTGATTGGTCGCAAGCTCCTCAATTTCACACACCCATTTAAACAATGTTTCTAGGTTTTGAAGAAACGTATTGGAATCTTTAGATGCATCCTTCAACGCCAGCACTGCTCTCGTTCCCTGGAGAACATAACATATTATTAGAGAAATATAAAAGGTGGTGACTTTACAGAGATGAGTGGAAAACACATACTTTCCATTTACCCACAATTGAATCTTGGTCAGAGCTCGACTGCCCATCGCTTTGAATCTGAAAAAAGTGGATATTTATCAGCACATAGCAGATATACAGAAGACTATAAATAATGATTACTTAACAAAGAGAGCAGCGTGATAGGATGAATAGAGCTTAGAAATGATAGAAACAGGATTAAGCAAAATCAATAGACTTATCAACCTCTGCCAGCTCCTTTGCAGCCCCATTCAAGACCCTAACAGTCCTGGTGACAATGGGGTCGCCTCCTTTCGATCCAGGTGGATACTCGATAACTTCCACAATTTCTGTTATGACGGTCTCTGTAACCTCCGTCACTTCTGTCACTTCTCTGGGAGCCGAAGACTTCCACGACCAGGGGCTGCCTTCCCGAGAGTCCCTTCTTTGAAAGCTTGCCCTCCTTTCAGCCGCATTCTTGTCGATTTGAGTCAGAGGCGACCTGGCAAACTCCGGTGGCACCGATCTCCTCGTGAGTGTCCCATTTCTGGACGTCTTTATGGGGGAAGGTGTGTTGAACCATGCGTTCTCCAAAGTGCTGCTGCTTCTGATTGTTGAGGCCGGGGAACCGCGCGGAATTTTATCTGAATTCGGAGTGTGGCAATCTTCATGTCTTTTGTCATCCATAAAATCGGCCTCTCTCTCCTTGACCGCATCGCTGCCTTTAATTTCTTCATTCTTGACTTGGTTATTGACTTCTTCCTGTTTCGTGTCTCCGTTTTGCTCTGCGGGTGGCCACTCTTTCCGCCGCTGGTAACACTCCTTCAGGAAGTTTTCATCGGACCTCACCTGCTTGGATTTTTGACCCAAACAGCTGGGCCGACTGATGAGGTTACCCATAATCCCTTAGCCAAGAGCAGAGTATGGCAACATGTGAGGAAAGGCCCTATGTAAGGCCATGCATGCAGGAGATTCTTCAGCTACCTATAATCAGACAAGGCTTGGGGTTATCGGAAGCAGTAGACAATCATCTAACAGGCAGCAAAACAAGAAAATAGTGACCCAAATTATGAGCTGCGTTTTTGTTGCCCACATTTTTTGGCAAAACTGTAGCCTGTTTCTTTGTCCTTCATTTAGACCACATGCAAATACTGGCCCCTCTATCTCACAACACCGACGTAGAAACTCAGAGCTTGGAAATCAAAGTGACAGGCTTGGTGAGGATCCCACTGTTAGGACTGGCACAGAGATCCAGGGCGTGCTGCCAGTCTTCCCTCTCACTCAGACTGGCCTTATGCTGGCTGATCTATTAACGTGTAAAATGTACTGGCATAATCTGTCCCAGTAGTAATTATAATAATACACACAGAATAGTAAAATTCTTTGTTTTAACCTTATTTTATTGATGTACTTGTCTGGTGCACACTTGGGATTTTTGCAAATGTATTCCAATGGGGTTTTACTGCAAATGGCAAATAATCTGAATCTGTTTTTTATTGTTGTAAGCCATAGATATTGTTGCTACATTACTGTATCTCTGTCTATGGGAGTTTGAGAAGTTTTACCAAAAGATTTCTGTTGAGTCTGAGCCCTCCCTGACCAGAGCTGAACTCAACCATTAACAATCCGACAGGTCGCCTAAGGTCATGCCAACAAACCAAAGAACAGTAGGGGGGCTATAGGGGTCAATAACAGGGAAATTGGTCGGTCGGGTCATTTAGCTACATTGGACACTTAAAGCTGGGGTACCCAACTTTCAAACCCCAAACATATTAAAAATGCAATCCAACCGATTTAGGTTCTATCGCTAATTTAAACATACATGCATTTTTAGGCCTCTGTCACAGGTTTTTAGACGGAAAAGTGAAAAAGAGAGTTCGTCTAATGCTCAGCCAATCAGCCCAAGGCATAACATAGTTGTGACTCACAGGACTCTTTCTTTGTTTGCAGAGGACAAACACATTTTGGAGGAAAACAGCGTGTTGTGATCTGATTTGTTCTCAAAATCTTGCTTTTACAACGTTTTCTGTATTTTCTTATGGAGAAAAAAATGGATATATAGACAAATTGAATGGCTCTGTGGATGCATTTTGAGGAAAGAAAAAAAAACATTGCTGAGCGAGCGTATTTTATCAGCATAATGTTACAAATAAAGCACACAACCTGTAACAATGTTTTCTTCTCACTGTGCCACTGCCGTCACGGTAAGTATTTTGTATTTTAAGCATTTTCATCTGAGAGGCAAATCATATTTATCTCACATCTTTGTATTCAGCATTAATATTATGCCCCAAAGCAAACAATACCATATAAAAAAAAACATGCAAATAATGTATTTTCTGATTAGATTAAAACAAAAAAACAAAACCTGGTCAAAACAGGAGTCGTACATATTCATCTAATTTCATCTGCAGAGCATGGATTCGTTTATTAATAATATTTTTTTGCCACTATACGCTATTTATTAGATGAGCTTTTGTCTTGTTTTGGAACCAATTATAGTAAAAATAATGTTTCCTGATTCCACAAATGATAACAGGACTGTGGGATTGTAATCATAACTTAGACCCTCTTCTGGGGGGCTGGCCCTGTACATTAGGCCTCAGGAAGTAATTACCTCCACGGCTCCCACGGCTGAGCGTATGATGTAGTCAAGACTTCCACTGGGAGAGCACAGTGGGATTAGAGAGTAGTGCCCGAGACAAAGCCCCTGCTCCAGATCAATGATTACTCAGTTAGCTCAGATCACTGCCCAGCCGGTGGTCTCTGGAGGTGGGCCGAGTGTCTGGGCTGCCCTGTGCACATGGGTTAACAGTTGGAGGGTGTGCCGTGCCTGGTTACTGCCCTGCATGTGTAGCCGCTGGCAAAAACATGTCTGCCTTCTCTGTGATGTCAACACACGCTCATATGCAAAGACCCGCAATTAACCATTTCTCACAACAATATCCAGTTCACAAACAAAATGAAGGCTGCGCAATATAGAACAGCTCTTCAGAATAGGTCACCTCCAACATACATATTTAATGGAATGTAGGTTATTTATATGTATTTATTTAAATAATTTACTTCACCTTAACTCCTTCATGACCTACATTCAGCTTGTTTAGGAACCTGCTCGAAAGGATGCACCCCTTTGTGTCGTAAACGGGGACCGGTACACTGTGTATGACCTAACCGGCCCATCACTTAACCTACTTTAGAATGGTCCATAATTCAGAACAACCCTTCACTGCTCTCAACCATGATTTATGATGAGAGGGAAGTCCATTTACTGATGAATTTCATTATAACAATAACAGGATGAAACACTAGATTACTTTATAAGCACCACATATTTGGTTCTTACATCTTCAATGACAGTATTATCTTCATAAATAATTCTTAAATACAATCTAAACAGTCGTTGACTTAAATGAGGAGAAATGTGACCCTGAAAAAACAGTCATGTTGGTATAATGCTGTACCTTGCACTTCCTAGACGCCCCTCATTGATGGTAGTAGTCCCTTAATTAAATATGGTAGCTGGGCATTCACACAAGAATCTTGCCATTTACTTACTGTATCGGGCACACAGTCATCTATTTTAATTTTGTTACAACCAAAAAAAATTGAACAGGATTATATTTTAAAAATGGAAAAAAACATGGTAAAAATAAATTCATTTCCAATTTAATAGATAGCAATTAATAATAATAATGTGCGTGTAAATACATACAAAAATGCTGTCTTTACTGTTTATTTGTATTTTAATGAACTTTTCAAATGAAATGTAAATGCTGTTCTTTTCAATTTGGTCTGAAATTAGTGTGAAAAAAACTTACCCCCAAACCAACCCTGATCTCCACCTCATGAGTAAAGGAATCCTGGCAAATCCCATTCAAACCGGCGGAGAAAGACAAAAATCCTGCTTTGTTGGAGCATCCTTTCAACCGCCTCTTAGTTCCAACATCCCAAAAATAGCAGGTTCCGTCCACTCACTCACAGCCTCACAGCCCCCCGTCCATCACGTCCAATCCTTCCCACATGTTCCACCACAAACACACTTTCCTAAACACCGCCACACATGCCCCGATAACTCATGCTTTTTTTCCCGTTGCCCACAGCCACAGCCAAACAATGTCCTCCTCCTCCCCTCGCCGGACAGCCCTCCCCTATATCCACTTCTCCCTCCCACCAGCTCTCTCTCCCTCAACCTCTCCACTCCTCTCCTTTTCTTCTTTGTTGTGAGATAGAGGAATTCCTTCCCTTGTTAACGCCAGCGATGGGAGAGTGTGCCCAAAAAGCAGAGACAATGTATTCCAACGGCTCAGATGAACTCCCAGAACTCTGCAGCCAAAAAGAAAATCTGTTTCATTTTTTTCTTCACATGCGGGTCACATTTTTGCCTGTAAACAAACAAGGCGGTGCCATCTTTCAGCACCCACCCCAGCTCCGGGTATCCCACCACCAATCAGCAATAAATTGGGCAACTCTAGCAGGTTTTCGCACTAACTCTCTCTCTCTTTTTTATCCCACAAAGCCACTCCTCTCTAAGTCTAACTGTGATTCTGAAAACTCGCTTGATAAATGGTCTGCGATAGGGGGTAAAAAAAGAAGGGAGTTTTCAATAGACCCCTAGGCTCTCCTCGAAACATTCACATGGTAAGTGACAGCTGCCTGTGTCGGCTCCCCTTCTTTTCGGCAGTGGAGGAGAGAGAGAGAAAGCGGTGCACACTACAAAAGAGGGGACCCACACCCCGCCCCACACTAAGCAGTCTCCCGCACATTCAGACCCCCAACCCCCTTGGCCCATTCGCGATGAACACATCCACATCCACATTCACAGTCAGTGCAGAAGCAGCAACAAAGACAACTAATTACTGTAAAACATATCACATTACCAAGCAAATCACTTGGACCCAGCCATTTCAATATCGGCGGAACATGTAGGAAACAGAACCAGGACAGTGTGGCGTGACGGGTTAACTCTGCTTTAGTGGTTATTACAGACGTCCGCACAAGATTCAAACAATTAAAATTACATTATATTTTTTAATTCAGTACTATGAGTTCAGGGCTGCGCGGTTTTCGCCACAATACAGTATATAATTGTGATATTTCTGTCTAACTTCAAGACATTTACATTTGAAGAAGAGTGCATATCATACCGCACACAATACAACAAAACAAGAAATAAAAGATTCACTGCGTACATTTTAGATATACTAATGCTTTGAATTAGGTTGTTTGTATATTATCTCACTACATTTGTACAGTCAGAACTCAGAACTAACACATTTTGACGAAATATCCATTTACAAATTAAGAGAGATCCAAAATGAATTAGATGATGTTTTGATATTTTAGTTTTTAGTTCGCAAACAACTTGAAATAAAGAATAATAGAAGTCTTTCCAATTTGCTATGATTCGTTATTCTCATATTTGAGTAATTATATTCAGAGGTGTTATGTTTATATTATTACTCTTATATATTTTTTGTTTTGTTATATTTTGTAAATGTACCTAAGCTGCTTGTGATGAATTATTATGAATTATTTCTATGCCAGCTTACTTGCTCGGGGGAGAAAAAAAAAAGTATTTAACGTGTCTCCCATGGTACATCGCATCAGTACATTTCCTGTGCTGCCACGTCAGTATGGCTGTAACTGTATTACAATGATACAGTATCTCTGCTATGAAGCAAATACATTTATTGATCCCGCGACCCTTAATACAGAGAATCAATAACTGTTTCACTTGAATGAATTGCTTACTGTGTTTTATGCGAGGGGTTTGCTTAATGCTCAAGTTACATCAAATATTGTACAAGGGCAATTACTTTCAAGCCAATTATATACGTTTTTACTACTAATATCACTTTTAAATTATTCAACAGGATTTCAACGGCTTTGAACGTCCACAAAACCTGTATCACAATCAAACAAGCTGTGCAACTAGTTTGAAAACTAGTTTAGCTCAACCCATCTATTTGTATTTGGAAAACCACTAAAACTACCCAGTGAAACCCATAGATTTAGAAAAAGGAGTTTTGTAATTGGGTCACTGCTTATGGTCTGGAACAGTACATTACATAAATCATATTGAAATGGATGTCCAGGCACAAGACAGACACTTGACACCTGATCTCTCCTGTCTTGCCTCTTGTCCCTTCAGTGCTCATTAAAAACCTCTTCTCTCCATTTCAGAACTGGAGCACATAGTTCACAGAAAACAACAACAGATGGCAGCGCACCATGTGTTGGTAAATATTTAGTTTCGAAGCGTTTTAACTATAATAAAACCTCGAGAATAGAGAAAAGTAATTGTTAAATGAAAAGCTATTACTAAAATGATTACTGAACAAAATGTATGTATGTTGAGGTAATTGACCGGTGTGTGTTTATACCAAAAGTATCCGTATATAGCAGGTTCAGCGACAGTACAGCAATACAGATGCCTAATTAAATATTCTACTTTGATAAGGTGGTGTTAAGCAGGACTGAACACAATATTTTGTTATCTTGGTCTCCCCCCAACCCCTGTACCATCAGAAAATTAAATCAGGTTCCAACCATGTCTCCCAGAACATGGTAATTAGACCTCTTGATGAGAATTAGAAAAGAAGGGGCTCCTTTGAAGGGTCAAAGCCAGAAGCACCATTCAACATGTGCACTGTCATTCATCACAAAAAGGAGGTTTCTTGGAGGGAAAGCACCACGCTGCCTGCTGTGCTGCACAGTTCTGCTGAGCTGCTTGGATACTGCACATTACAATCAAGACTGTGTCAGGAGTTTAGCTCCATGGAAATCAGGAAGAGTTCATCCACATCGTCAGTCTCATGTTTGAAGTTGTTTTTCAGTGGACTCAAGGATTTACAGCTGTGGGTCAGGGCTTTATACAGGAAATAGACACAGAAAACAAAAGTTGGAACCGTTTATCACCATTAACTCTAAAATAATGTGTGCATCAAAAAGTCCAGAGCAATGAATGAAGTGTTGTTGACCAAAACCAATGTCACATTCTGGGAAACAATGCATCAGACTAAATTACACATTCAGGCGTCTGCAAAGGTCTTTAGTGAATCTGATAAACCACTACTAAAAACATTATACAGAATCTTTATTTTACAATAAAGAGATCAAACATAACCAAATACATGAGGGCATTTTTAATATGTGTTGAAATAGTATCCAGAAGAAGTGTCTTGAAGACAAAGGTTGTGACCGTTGGCATGTTTGCTCAGTCAGAGACAGAAGACTTTAGAACAGTCAGTGGCCCTTAGACCTGCTCCCAGGGCCCAGAGGCCTGTTTATATGTTCTGTGCACAAGACATGTTTTAGATGCAGCATCTGCTGCCAGTCCAGGGAAACACAAAGTTTGGTATTTATCCATCATGTGGGTGTTGGAGCTGCAGACAATCTCATTCTGAAACTTATGACTTCAAGAGGACTATGGCAGATTATCATTATTCTATTCTTTATGATTCTTTACAGTCTATGCTCACACCCCAGGCCTTTGTTCTGGTAATGTTGTTAGACCACCACTCTCCTGGTTAAGGTCTAGGCCTTTGGGACTCGTTAGGAAACAAGGGACTCAAATGAGAACATCTATAACCAGGCCCAGGTCACAAGCCCCTGCGCAATACACAGGAGAGAGACACACCTGCCACTTACACAATGTATGCACTAGTTAGCACGTCCAGGGTTCCCATGAATACTGAGGCCCTCCTCTGATTTTTTTAAGCAATGAAGCTTTGCTATGCTGCTCAAGGCTGAAATAAATAAATAACACCTAGTTAATAGAATATTGCTTTCAGTTAATGTAATTCTGCAAACATACATTCTCTCATTCTATACAATATTATGTATACGTATACACATACATAATAACATAATAAAGGTTTCCTCAATCTATTTTTTTCTTCAATGATGAATGGCTGTGACATCTACAGTTATTCCGATAAACACATTTCACAGCCTTTTACAAACAAATCTCAGTTTTCTTGTCTCTGCCCTTTTTCCTCTTTCTCTCTTCTGATTCTAATGTCTTTTCACTGTGTTCGCTCATCTGTGCAGTGGGCCTCTCCAGCAGCAACCACTTCTGTGATGGAGCTGCTCCCCACCGGGCACAAAGGAGCCCCTCGGTCCACGTGTGCTCTAACGGGTCCTCCAAACTGAGCGAGTGGAGGAGGACCTTACAGGATCACAAGTGAGTACGTCCCTTTCATACCATGTACAATGGACGTTACCAAATGGCATGAGTCATTGGTTTAGTCGTCCATTGTGATGGGAAGTTGGTCGTTTACTGGTAATGTGCTCTTCAAAGCAGAGCAGCCACTGATGGTGTAATGGCTTCCTCTAGTGCTCAGAGATTGGCATTAGACTCATTTTGAACCAAGTCAATTATAGAAATCATAGACATTTCTGAGATGGAAATTATATTACAACATGTTATCAACATTCTGATAATATGAATTATGGGTGAGAGGATGAGGTGAAGCAGAGGTGACAGAAGGCAGACAGACACTGACCCTGGGCTCTGAAGCAGGAAGCCTCATCTCCATGTTCTTCAGCCATTGTCTCAGCGCTCGGATTTGCCCTCTGAACTCAGCCTGCCACTGACTCAGCTCCTCCACGTCGGCACTAAACCACACATTCAACATACAGGAAAACATGCAAATCCTGATAAAACAATAGCAGCTGAATTATCCACCTTAATAAAACTTTATAATTACTTTTACCATATGCTTGGTTATCAAGGCCCTTCATCCCCAGCGCTGTCAGACTGTACAATGAGTCACTAATGACCAAAAACAAGCACTGCTATAGCCTTTTTGTTGTACATAATATATCCTGCACAGACTATAATGTTTAACCTTTTGCACATGTCTTTTTCGAGTGATTCTATCTATGCCAAATGTGACATGTACATTTCTCCATTGTGAGATCAATAAAGTTTATCTTATTTTGTCCACTCTAAAAATGTTTTTGAGGGATTTTTGAAGCATTTTCATGAAATATTGAAACATAAGAAAGTTTGAACAAAATATGTTTCATAGAAAAGTGTCACATGACCAGCAGATAGTAACTTATTTTCAAATAAAGCATAGGACAAAGATTAGGGGCATATGAGGCGTATGCTGTCCATAATGATATATAGATTTTTTATATAATTGGATTGGTGTGTTTTTTTTGTTCATTTGTGAAGTGACTGATGGGACATGTACACACACATACCTTTACTACAGAATTCTTGTTTTGCAGCCTTTATAATTTTAGTCTATACTGTAGCTGGATGTTTTGCAAAATTCATTCCCAGCACATACATCCCATCCTGTTCATCTATCTTTGGAACGTATTTATAAGTTTGTTTTTTGTTATAAGCAAAGTTTTGAGGGTTCAGTTTAGAAGCTTGTCAAAGTTTTAGCTGCATTAATCTCACACCCCAGACTCTGGCATCAACAAGAGGCCAGTCCCACAGAGTCCGAGTTGGTTCATATGTCATGGATGTACTTTGATGCGAGAGACTTGTGCACAAATAGCTGCTGTAAAGTCTTTTCTCTGAATCACTTGAAGAATAATATCATTAGGATTTGAGAACTTAGAAGGCTTCTTCATTTTTAAACTCTCCATCACTTTGAGATCCAACGACGTATAGTACTTTCTCACCCCCAGCACCTGAGGTATGATTTTCTGTTCTAAAAATACATGTAACCTATGTAACAGAAACACTAAATATTTTATTGTATTATCATGTATGTCCATTTCTTTATTTGATAAAACAAACATCAACTTTCCCTTATTATTTTAAGTTTTCTCAAGTCATTCCAGTTATTGTTATACAGTAGTCTAATCTTAAGCTTGTATGAAACTCATTGCTTTCATCATGTGCTCATCATTCCCAGGCCCAACATAATCAGTCTTTAATTTTTGTGGTGGACTCCGTTGTGACATCATCCTGTGAATGATTGCAATAATGTAGAAAACAATTACCCGTATCTATGGTCCTTTGACGGATACGGCTGTGGTTCAAAATGTATTGCTTCATCCTGTATGTGACAGAATAAAGATGCACTGTTGCCTTTCTGGTAAATTACATTATTATCAACGTCATGTAGTGTGACTGCCATCTGGAGATACAATAGTCTTACCTTCCTTCCTCCAATAGACTGGAGGGTAAAGTAGGGGTCGTACTCCAGAGAGCTGATGGAAGAGTTCTGCGATGTGTTAGCAGGTTCTTCAGGTGAATCCAGCGGCTATGTTTTACAAATACAATACACAATATATAAGACCTTCTATTTCTATATATTGGGATGCCCCTAATATGGGTATAAATTACACTACAACAGCCATTCCCAAACTCAGTAACACCGAGGCCCCCTTAAAAATCTGACGGGTCTGCGTGGCCCCCCAAAATAATAACCAAGAAGACAACATTAAGAATAGGCTCTTCTGGTTATTTTATTTTGGGGAAATAGCCTCTGCTACAAACATTGTAATACAAAAATGATTACAGTGGATTATTCAAGTCAAATAATGAACACACATATTTTAATATTACAAACAAAACATTATAAATTTAACATTAAATAATTATATTATTTTTTTATTTTTTTTATGACCCCCCGCGGCCCCCCTGCAGTACCCTCGCGGCCCACCAGGGGGCCGCGGACCCCACTTTGGGAGACACTGCACTACAACATAGGATTGGTCTGTCAAATGGGATGCAGGACAGTGCCCTCCAGTGGCAGCTCGAGTACTGGCGTTGTCTATGAAAAGCCAATAATAATGTTTATGAAGTTAGAATAACAGTCAGCTGTTTTACTTGAAATGTGTATAGAACACAATCGCATTAGACCATATATGGGCTTTATTTACATTTTGTCAACCAATTGAATGAAGTACAGCCATAAAACCTCTGGTAATGTGAATGAACTAAATGAAAAGGTATCCAATTGAGATCCAAAAAGAATAACTTGCTTACATAACTCTTTAATAACTTTATTTGCAATACGTTTTATAAAAAATTTTTATAGCCGTAAACATCTCCCCAAGGCCTCTTCTGACTTGTGTGTTGCATTTTCCACATTCAAGCCGTGTCAGTTTAAACTGTGTAGAATAATTGTGTAACTAATGTAGCCACTATGTATTATTTTTAATAACTAATCCAAGTATTTTCCAAGTAATGCATTACAATAATAAAAAAGTACCGGTAAGTTAATTACAGTAGCATTAGTAGCTGATTTACGGATACAGTAACAGTGAGAAATGTTAAAACGTTGGTCGTTCTACAATATATTATCCTCTATATTTACCCAAGAAAAAATAGACAGACTTGGATTTTTCTTTGAGCAGTGATTGTTCCCATTAAAAAAACACAAGAGTAAATTATTTAATCCAAGGCAGAAACTACAGGACCTCAGCTTCACAAGTATTTCAAAAGTTCCTGAATCAGATTCAATGAATTTGTATATATTATTTCAGTGGGTGTGTGTCATGATTAAGCAACGGCTAGACAGCTCTCTCATATATACACTCATCGTATATATTTACTAACAATTCAAAGTTATTATTAATTGACATAATGGCAAAATAAGATTAAAAACAAACATAATGTCTTTATTCTGCATATTTGCTTCAAAATTATATGGTTTTAATAATACACATTCAAACAATGGGATGAAATATGAGTTGGTAACACTTTGGTATTTGCTTTTACAACAGTATAATCAGGAACATTAACCAAAAAAAACACCCAGTGGACTTTCTAAATACATCCTAAATATGAATATATTTCAATTGAAAAAGAAAAAAAAAAATCAACAAAGCATTATTATATAGTATTAGTATTTGGCACTAAGGTCCATGTGATTTCGAGGATTCCAAGATGATGTCATATTTGTTTATGGATGAATGGACGTTCAGTGGCAAATCTAAAACAAAGTACAAACAAAAAACAAATTAAAACTTAAACCAAGAAGAAGTTAAATAGAAATAATAAATTAATCATGACAATGAAATGAAAAGTCAACATAAAAAATGTGATCGGTAAAACACTGACCTGGATTAGGACATTGTGACGATGGGGACTGTTTGACCGTGCCATCTGAGTGTCCAGCTTCAAAAAATGAAATCTAAAAGTCTGAAAAACAAAACACAAAAACGTCACACAAATTCACTAAAAACAAAATACCTGAAAACAGAGAGTGGTAAGTATTATGGAATGAGATGGAATCAATACAAAATATAATAATAAAAGAAATTAAAATACAACATATTTATAATTGATGAACTTACAGTCTTTTCAATTACAGGACGCACATCTGTGTAGTGAAGACATCATCTTGGGATTGACCAGGAACACTTGGACTAATGTCTAAACTACAGATTAGTGATATAGTCTAGAAATAATATGTACATGTCCACTGATTATAAAAATATGAACAGAAAAACAAGGTCATGTTTTAAAAGGCAATATTCGTTTCTATGCTGTCGTGGCAGGCTTTACGCACTACACTAAATAAGTCTTTTATCCAGATCATTTTAACAAAACCATAAAACCATAAGTGGTACATATTCTATACAAACATTCAATGTAAAATCTCTATCTGTAAAATATCAAAAGTGTGTTTACATACAGTATATCAAGTTTTTATGTCATAAAAATTCAAAGCAATACTCTAAATTTATGTTAAACCACATTCAGCCTGCAAGTCTACCTTTTAACAGGTATAGCATCCAAAAATATAAACTATGTGCTATTCTAAAATCTACATGCAAAAAAATAATAAATAACTGTTTTTTCTGTAACCATTTATCTAGATCTAGTTTTACTGTGCGTTTTGATTTGTGGAATTGGTGTTATTCTATTAATGCACAGAACATGGCTATCAGAATCTGCGTCCGAAGCTGGTTGAAGATGAAGTATAAGAGGAGGAGGAGAGATTCATGCTAAAGGCTGAGCCAGCGTCAATACTGCCTCTCCTTGATCCAGATCTGGAGCCGGTCCTTGAACCAGACCGAGAGCCATAAGCTGATCCTGTTCCACTGAGATTATAGGGACTATACACTCCTTTGGTGGATTCTGATGATGCTTCCAGAAGCCTTAGACCAGATCCTTCTTCAACCATGCTTTTGTCCATTGCATCTTTAAAGGAGATTTTAAGTTTGGTTTTGGGACATGTCAGATATTTTGAATAAGCATGGACGTCTCTGAGTTTTTGTGCAGCCCGGGCATCAATTGTTCCCTTCCTGATGGATTCATCCAGTGGCACTCTGCCCTCGACCTCAGGCTCAATGAGTCCCCCAGTGAGGTACTGAACCTCAAGGAACCGCTGGCCAGCTTCATAATATAACCAACCTTTTTTCAGAGCTTGAGAGGCTGACATTTTAACTTTAGTTCTTGGGTCTTCAAAGCCATTAAACGCTTTTTGGGCAAGGTTAAGACGATCAACCATAATTTTATCTACAAGACCCTTCTCTGTAGCATCACTGACTGATAATCTCTCTCCACTTGACGGCTCAATTATTCCCCCTGTACAAGCTTGAGCTTCTAAAAGTCTTTGACCTGTAATGTTGTCTACCAGGTTTCTATGCATGGCCTCAGTTATAGAAATCTTTTCCAGAGTGTCTACATCCAGTATGCCAGCAATGGGACAGGTGACCTCACTTGGGTCATTCCATACAACTGCAGGTGCTTTGATGGAGGGTATGGGGCTCATGGGATGTGATGATGTGGAGCCACTTGTGGAACCAATTGAAGATGTGCGTGATCGGAACCCTCCTACATTCCCAGAAAGCATATCTGCAAACTCTGTGATGGATAAGTTTCCAGACTTGTAGCTTTCAAGCGAACGCTGGTCAAGAAGACCACGAGCAAGAGCATCATCAACATCATACTGTCGTCCAGATCTTCTGTCAATAATTAGAGATTTGACAGTACCATCTGAAGAGGTCGTTGTGATTTCCTCCCATTCACACTCCTGCTCTGCAAGCTCCAAGTAGGTCTGATGGTCAATAAGCCCCCGCTTGTACGCCTCATAGACAGTCATCTCTTTACCAGTGGCTGGGTCCACAATAACGATACGACGCTTGCGGACAGATGATTTAGAAGACGTCTTATCACGATTTTTATCTTTCAGTAGCAGAAGCACTAAACCGGTGTCAGGGTCTTTAATGCATCTCTCCATGAGCTGTAAGTATGTTAGATTTTCCTCAGTGTTTGGGTCAAAGAAACCTTTAGTGTCATCAGATGGATCTGTCAAAATCTCATTCATCTCTTCATCAAAGAAATCACGCTTGTAGGCAATTTCAACAGGCAAACGATGACTTTCCTCTGGGTCAATGATTCCACCTGTTGCTATCTGGGCTTCCAGTAGACGGATGCCATGATCTTTTAATATGAGACCTTTTTTCATTGCCTGGAACAGAGATATTGTCTTGCCTGAATATGGATCTCGATATCCTGTGACAGCCCGCTCAGCTGAAAGGAGTTTATCCTTGAACTCTGGTCCCACAATTCCCATCTTTACAGCTTCAGTAACTGTAAGCTTCAGGTTTTTGATTGGATCTATAACATAGCCAGTGGCTGCTTGTGCTTCAAGAAGTTCAAAGGCTGTACCTGGTCTAATCATATTTTTCTTCATGGCTTGGTAAATTGATAGACGTTCCTTTGAAGTTTCCAAGAATACGCCAGCAATGGAACCAGTACCCTCAAGGTATCGTGAGAGTCTGTTAGTAACCTCTTCCACTGATATTGAACCTTGATTCAATTGTGTTACTGTCTCTTCGTCAATAATTTGTGAGCGAATAAGCTCCTCCATTGTGATCTGTTTTCTCAGACCCTTAAACATCAACCTCTTGTCTCCCAAAGAAAGAAGACGCAGTCCAGCTTCGAATTTGCATCGCTTCAGTAACTGTGCATATGACACTTTCTCATCAGTTACAGGGTCAATGAATCCTTGGACATCATCCAATTTTTCATTGGTTTCTTTATTAATGTAACCTCTTTGCATGGCAACATCCATTGGGAGGTGAAACTGGAATTCAGGGTCAATAATACCTCCAGTGGCATTTTGTGCTTCTAACATTTTCAGAGCATACTCTTGGCTAACAAGGTCTTTCTTCATAGCCTGGAAAAGAGAGACAGCTTTTCCGCTGTAAGGATCTTTATATCCGGTAACTGCCCTCTCAGCTGACAGGAGTTTGTCATGGATTTCTGGTCCAACAACACCCTTACGAACAGCTTCATCAACTGTGAGCGTTTCATTCTTTACAGGATCAACAATAAAGCCTGTAGCTGCCTGCGCCTCGAGCAGACTAAGGGCTAGTTCTGGTTTCAAGAAATCTCTCTTCATTGCTTGGTAGATGCTCATTCTGCAGGAGTCGGTTGTGACCCCTGCAACACATCCTGTGCCATAGAGATACTGTTTTACACTAGTTAGCTCCATGATGTCACGAATGTCTCGTTTCCCTTGCTTTAGGAGATTATAGGTCTCTAGATCTATGATTCTGGCATTGTATAATTCTTCAATTGTTATTCTCCTTCGTATTGTTGTGCAAGATAAAGGAGCATCATTTTTAATAATTTCTCTCTGTTCCATGATCTCAATTATAATGATTATCATTCGTTCTTTTGTGATTTTACCAGAGCGGTATTCATCCATGAGCTTCTGTCTTTCTTGGTCAGGAAGCAGATTTGAATTCATGATGTCCCAGAGGTTCAGTTTGTCAGGGAGACCCTCAATGTGGGGAATATCAATTTGACTATTGCTCAGGTCATTCTGTGTTTGTTCTTCAGTGTAGAGGTAGGTCTTTTCCAAAACTGTTGGAGACTGAGGCTTTGAGAGTGGAAGCATGTACAATCCTGTGTCAGGATCCTTTTGGCACTTGTCTTGAAGTTGTTTGTAAGTGACACTTTCATCGTTTTCTGGGTCTGAGAAAACTTTGTTTTCATCATTTGGTTCAGACAGAGCTTTGACTGTTTGTTTATCAAGCATATTTTTCTGATATGCCACATCAGTGGAGACTCGGTGGCTGTTAACCGGATCAATGATTCCTCCACAAACCATCTGTGCTTCAAGCATGGGCAAAGCCTGCTCCTTCAGAATTAGGTCTTTTTGCATTGCTTCAAAGAGGGAGATTTTGTTTCCAGTGAATGGGTCTTTGTAACCAGTGACAGCCTTCTCTGCAGACAGTAGCTTTTCGTGTAACTCAGGTCCTACGACACCTGACTTAACGGCTTCATCCACTGACATGCAATGATTTGTTATTGGATCCACCATGAAACCAGTTGCTGCCTGGGCCTCTAAAAGAGCAAGCCCTGTGTTGTGTCTGAGGAGCTTTTTCTTCATTGCTTGGTAAATGCTCATATTTTCTTTTGAAGGCGCATTGTAAATACCAGCGATGCAATCTGAGCCTTGAAGATATTTTTTGACATTGGGATCCCTACTGACTTCTGCTGGTGATGTTTTTCCTCGTTGAAGGAGATCAAAAGTGGGTTTATCAATAATGTTTGATTCAAACAGAGAACTTGCTGGAACATTTGCTCTGAGACCCTTGAAAGCAGATTGCTCTTGTTTCTTTGCCTCTTTTTCACTGATGATAGTAATAATAATCTTGATCAACTTTTCAATGGTAATCTTCCCAGACATAAACTGTTTAAGAAGGTCATTTCTTTCCTGCTCTGTGAAATATTCAGAATGAAGTATTTCCCAGATTGTGACTTTCCTGCCTTTAAATGGACCATAGCTCAGATCTACAGTGTTCTGTGTCATTGCCTCTTTTATTTGAGCATCTGTATACTTGATCTCTTCTTGACATGTGATTGCTTCATCAGACAAAGGCAGGAGCTGGAGACCCGTTTTCTTGTCAGTAATGCATTTCTCAAAGAGCTGTGCGTAGGTTAAATTCTCTCTTGTATTAGGATTGAAGAAGCATTTTGCCTCATTGGTCGCAGTAGTTAACATTTGCTTAGTTTCATTGTCAAAATAGTTCCTCTGGCAGGCTACATCATGAGGGATGCGGTGGCTCTTCACTGGATCAATGATACCCCCAGTGGTCAACTGGGCATCTAGCAGCCTTATTCCATGTTCTCTTGGTATCAGATCTTTCTTCATAGCTTGGAATAAAGAGACTGTTTTTCCTGAGTAAGGATCTCTATAGCCTGTCACAGCCCTCTCGGCAGAAAGCAACTTTTCATGCAGCTCCGGCCCAACTACACATGCTTTCACAGCTTCATCGACTGTATGTTTCTGGTTAGTGATGGGGTCAGTAATGTATCCAGTTCCTGCCTGCGCCTCAAGCATATTTAAAGCAAGACCTGGTCTCATCATGTCCTTCTTCATTGCTTGATAGAAAGACAATGGCTCTTTGGAAGACTCTATATACACACCAGCAATACCATTTGTACCTTTCAATGCTTTTTGAACAGGCTTCATTTCAGACACATCTTTAATTGTGACAGCCCCTTTGTGCAATTTATTAAATGTGTCCTTATCAATAATATTGGACTCTACAAGATCTGAGGCAGGGACAGGTCCTCTGATACCATCAAATGTGATTTGCTTTTTCTTTTCTTTCTCCTCTGCCACAGTGATTACAATTTTAATTATCTTTTCAATTGTAATTTTGCCAGTCCTGTACTGCCGAAGAAGGTCTTTCTTTTGGTCTTCAGTGAAATACTCAGAGTTAATGATTTCCCAAATAGTGACTGTTTTTCCTGTGAATCTACCAAATGGCACAGAAACTGTTGTTTTGTTGAAAACATCTTTAGTCTCTTCTTCTGTGTACATGCTTGAGCAATGTGCTGCTTTGTCTGTGATAGGTAAAAGTAAGAGACCAGTATCTGGGTCAGTTTTGCATCTTGTCATTAATTCAGAATATGTCAAGGGTTCTTGAGTGCTTGGGTCAAAGTACCCCTTATTGTCATCTAATGGGTTCTCCATAATCTTGGCCATTTCATTGTCATACTGACCTTGTTTACAGGCCAACTGTGTGGACACTCTATGACTGTGAATAGGATCAACAAGGCCTCCAGTTGCTAGTTGAGCTTCAAGAATTCTAATTGCATGATCTCTTTCAATTAGACCCTTTTTCATTGCTTCAAAAGTAGATATTTTGCTACCAGTGTAAGGATCTTTGTAGCCAGCAACAGCTCTTTCAGCTAACACCATTTTGTTATGCAATTCTGGTCCAATCAGATCCTCTTTTACAGCTTCATTGACAGATAACTTATTGTTTTTGATTGGGTCTATCATAAAACCTGTTGCAGCCTGGGCTTCGAGAAGAATCATAGCTGTCCCTGGTGTAATCTTCTTTTCTTTGGATGCTTGATATATAGACATTTTCTGATTGCTGGGGCTTAGGATACCTGCTATGCAGTTTCTTCCTTTTAGAATTGGTTTCAGTTTGTCAGTATCGGCCAGCTCATGCACGGTGGTTTTTCCTTTTTTCAATTTATCAAACTCTTTCTTGGAGAGAAGGCCAATATCGTGCAATCTACTTGCTGGAACTTTTTCACGAATTCCATCGAAAGACAAAGGATCAACAGCATCTGTTACATCTGTGGCATTTTGACCATTGAGGACTGTTCTTGGAGCTTCGACCATTGTTATAGTTTCAATATTTGGCTGCTCCTTTTGTGCATCCTCCATCTGCTGAAGTTTCTCTCTCAGTTTCTGGTTTTCCTCAGCAAGTTTTCTTTCTTGCTCCAGTCTGTTCTTCTCTAGCTCCTGCATTTCTTTCTGTTTGTTAAGCATTTCTAACTCTGCCTCTTTCTGCTTGTTAAGGGCAGTAGTCATGTTCTCCTCAAGTTTCTTCTTTTCCTCCTCCATTTGTTTCTTCTGGCGTTCCTGTTCATCTTTGAGAGCTTGGGCTTTTCTGACCTCTTCCTCAAACTGACTCTCAAGTCTCTTTTTCTCATCTTCAATCTGCTTTTCCTTTTTCAAGAGCATCTCCTTTTCTGTTAAGAAGGACTGCTGGAGCATTGTCTTTTCATTCTCTATTTGTTTCTGCTGTGCATCCGCCATCTAGAAAAGAGAATTAAAAACAAAGTAAGTATCAAAATGCATTGGCGTGTCAAACACTACTTGTCTGAACATTTCACAGGTGCATCATCGTACTATATTTTGCTTAGTAACAGGGCAATAATATTCATCAATTTATTATACTTGTGGTATCATGTTTTCAATAAAGAATCTCTCAATCCCATAATCCACCTTTAAGAAAACAATGCACTTTGCTCATGCATATTCAAATGTATAATATATAAGTATATGTAATGAATTACATTATAGAGCAGGATTATTTCTGTTTAAAAACTGAGAAATTGTTTATTTTACAACACTGCTCTGAGAACTGATAAAGTTTTGATCAATATTTAAGGGTTGTTTGTAAAAACACAATAGTGAGACTTAAAATGTAAAATAGATTTTCAGTGTTGGGCTGTGCAAATCGTCTTTTAAAGGTTGCAATCTGAATTTTGGTAAATTGAGATTATCAAGACCCGTGTTATAACAATACTGTGGTAAATTATGTTAAATTTGCACAAGCAAATTACTCAATTTACTTCCCCGAGGTTTCTAATTTTTTTCCCATGTTCCTTTTTTGTGAGTTATTCCTTTCCGATGTAAGAGGGTTTAAGGACAGTACTGATGTTCCAGGATATTTGACATTCAACAACATTTATGTACATCTATTAACATTTATGGGCTATTGTCATCTGCCCCTTGTGGACCTTTATTGCTGCATTTCATGTGCTTGAACGGTTTGATTTTCTGATCGGTGTTGGCGAATCTGCAACTTTGTAAAGTCCACTGAGATAACTACTGTTGTGATTTAGGGCAATACAAAAATGTTAATTGAAATGAATCAATTAATCTAAAATAATAACTGAGGTAAAGCCTGCTATTCTAATAATTGATAGCTAAAGCCCTATATAAATACCAGGTAAACTTTGACAGAATCGACAACCCCCTCTGACTCATAGTTTCATACAATTTTCACTTTAAAACACATTTTTCACTGGGTTGGGTTTATGACTATCTGCATAAATAAATAATAATAATAAAACACAAATAATATAAATTAAAAATACATCAAGATTGTAATCGGACACAAACAAGCTGGATTGGTGCAACCCTAGTACATATATAAACAGGATACAAGTCAAACATTTAACTGCTTAATTTGTATTATTTCTAGCATAGTTTTGATGTTCCTGAAATGGGAAAAAATGCATGTCATGTCATTCCAGAGAATGGGACACATTCCGGATGCAATATGCATGAGCAAGTGCAAAGTGAAATAAGAAATAATAATCAGAGTTAGTGAAGGAAATGGATAGAGAATTTATAAGAGAAATTTGTTAGTTTATAGAGATTATTCTCAATGACATAAGCTGCTTGGTTATGTCATTATTAACACAATACCTCTTTAGACTTATTTTGAAGTTCCTCTGCCTCCTTTTTGAGTCTAGCCTTGTCCTTCTCTAGGCCTGCGATTGCTTTGCGTAAATCATCCGATTCTCTGTTCGAGTTTAATTTGTCATTTTCCAGTTTTTCCACAGCTGTATTTTTTTCTTTTGTAGTTATTTCGGTCTCATGAAGGCGGGAAGCAATTGAGTCTGCTTGTTTCTTGAACTTTTTGGCTTCGTCCTCAGCTCTGGCCTGGGCTTCACTAAGCTGAGAAACTTGTAGTTTGAGTTTTTCTGCTTCTGCTAAAATTTCTAATTGTCTTCTCCTCTCAGCTTCAAGAGATTTTTGATACTCCTCGGTTTCCTCATTCAGACGCTGCTGCATGAGTTGTTTATCCTCCAGTAATTTTTGAGCTTGCTCCTGTGCGAGGTCTTTTTGTCTTTGTAGCATCTCTGCTTCAGCCTTGAGTCTAGAAGCTTCTTGAATTGCGTGCATTTTCTCATTATGCATTTTTTCTGCCAAGGCTCGTTGTTGATTAAGATCGTCCTCTGCGATTTGTCTCAGACGGGCCGTCTCTTGTGCTTCTACACTTAGTCTAGCAGCATCTTCAGCCAGCTTCTTCATATGTTCAGCCTCTTCAGCAAGGAACGTTTGAGTATTGTCTTTGTCCTTTTTAATGAGGCGCTGATTTTCCTCTTCAATCCTTAGTTTCAGTTTAATTAGTTCCTCCATTTGAACTTTGACTTTGAAAAGCTCCTCCTCTACTTGGGACCTCTGTTTCACGGCATCATCCACCTCATCCTTTAAGCGCTGAAGTTCGTCATCAAGGAGAGATTTCTGTTTGTCAGTTTCATCTAGTTTAAGTTTCACCTTCGTAAGCTCTTGCTCAACCCCAAACTTTTGCTTTAAAGTTTGTTCAGCCAATTTCTTGTGCTTGGCCATGTCTGCGTCAGCTTGTTGCTTTTGCTTTAGTGCGGAGGCTTCTGCTTGTGCCCGTTTAGCAGCTTCAAACTCTGCCTCTTTTCTCAGTCTCTCAGCGTTTTCTTGTGCTTTGGCTTGGTTTGCAGCTTCTTGTTCAGCCGCAGCTTTCTGCCTCTCTGCCTCCTCTGCTTGTTGGCGGAACAAGGCTGCCTCCTGTTCTGCCTTTTCTTTAGCTGCTGCTGCTTCTTTTGCCAAAGCTTTTGCTTTTTCATACTCCTCTTTCAGCTTTTTCTGCATGGCACCATCTTCTTTCTGTTGAGCAAGAACCACCTGGACTTGATACTCAGCTGCACTACATTTAAGTGCTGCTTGCTGTGCCGCAACAAGTTGATTTTCAGCTTCTTGATCAGCTTCATCTTTTTGCTTTCTGGCTTCTTCAGCTTTCTTTTTGAGCCTATCCAGTTCTTCTACAGCTGCCTTTTTCTGCCTGGCTGCCTCCTTCTCAGCAGCCGAAATTATCTTCACCCTTTCTTCAGCCTCTTTTCTCCGTTTTTCTTCTTCTAAGGCAAACTTCCTTAGTTTTTCTGCCTCCTCTTCAGCCCTGAGTTTGCTCTGTTGTGTTTCATCAGCAATGTTTTTCAGTTTGTTTAGTTCAAGTTCAAGATCAAGTTTTCCAGAAGAGGCTTTTTCAAAGTTGAGCTTGAGAATTCGGATTTCTTCTTCAACAATTCTCCTTTGTTTGAGGGTATCATCCACTAGCGTTTTTTGTCGTTCCATTTCAGCATCCGATGACTTTTTAAGTAGGATAATCTTTTCTTCAATCTCCTTTTTGTGCAGATTTGCCTGATCCTCAAGAGCTTTCCTGTGGTAGGCTTCGTCTTCAGCAGAGCGACGTAATCTTTCATTTTCTGCTTCTTTTTCTTTCAGGGCAATTTCAGCTTCTGTTTTGAGGCGAGTAGCTTCACTTATTGCAGCCAATTTTTCTTTAAGTATCCTTTCTGCTTCAGCTCTCTGACGGGCCGCTTCTTCTTCAGCCATCTGCCTTTGTTGCTTGGCTTCTTCAGCAATTGCTCTGAGCCGACTTGCTTCATCTGCTAGATCTTTCATCTTCGCAGCTTTGTCCTCTAGAAGCTGTTTGCTCTTCTCTGTGTTGGACATACTCTCCTGTTCAGCTTTGAACTTCATTTGAATAAGCACATCCATTTCGCTCCTAACTTTAGCCAACTCGTCTTCAAGTTGTTTTCGTTGTTGCTCAGCCCGGATGACTTCATTCTTCAAACGGTATAATTCATCTTCAAGAAGAGATCTTTGTTGCTCAGCGTTGTCATAGTCGGCCCTGAGGCGTATCAACTCTTGCTCAGCATTAAGTTTCTGTTGTGCAGTGCTATCAGCAAGATTTCTTTGCCTATCCAGCTCCTTCTCTGCCATTTCTTTTTGCTTTAGTGCGGAATCTTCGGCTTTAGCCCTCTTCTTGGCCTCACGCTCAGCATCATCCTTCTGTTTCTCAGCTTCTTCCTGTGCAATGGTCTTCTTGTGGGCTTCTTCTTCAGCTTGAAGTCTTAATCGCAGAGCTTCATTTGCTTTTTGGCGCCATTTTTCAAGCTCTCTTTCAGCCACTTCTCTTGCATTTTCTGCCTCCTCTTGTTGTTTTTGAAGACGTGCTGCTTCCTGTTGTAGTTGAAGTACTGTGCCATGCTCTTGTTTTAGGGATTCTTCCAATTTTGAGGTTTTTTCTACAAAAGACAGATGTTTATTTTGGAGTTCAGTTGCAGCACTTTTCTGGGCTACTGCTTGTGCCACCTGTATTTGTCTGTCCTTTTCTATCTCAGCTTGTTTAACTTTGCGCTCGGCCTCCTCCGCCTGCATTTTGAGGTTTTGAAGGTCATCCAGAGCTTTTTGCTTTTGCCGTGCAGCCTCTTTTTCGGCATCAGATTTGCGTTTTAGCTCTTCTTCTGCTAACCGCTTCTTTAAGGTTTCTTCATTGACTTGTTTGCGTAGTTTCTCTGCCTCATCTTGAGCGGCCTTTCTGAGTTTTTCAGCTGCATCAGCTTTGTCACGTAGTTGTTGAAGCTCAGATTCTGCTACAAGCTTTTGTTTTACAGTAGTCTCCAGTTGGATTCTTATTAGGTGTATTTCATCCTCAATCTTGGCACGAGTTTGAAGAGCTTCTTCAACCTGTTGGGCTTTGTCATTGATCTGTTGCTCAGAGAGATTTTTTAGCTCATGGAGTTCCAGCTGGATGTTGGACTTTTGCCTTTGGGCATCTACAGCAGCAATTTCTCTTTTGCTTACTTCTTCCTGCATTCTAAGTTTCAGCTCTTTGGCCTCCTTTTCTGCTTTTGCAATGGCTTTTGCATGACCATCAGCTAACTGTCTCTGTTTGTCTAGTTCAGCCTGCATCTCGGCCATTTTTTTCTTTTCTTCTGCTTTGATTTTCTCTGCAGCTTTCTGCATTAGTGGAAGCAAATTATAGAGAAAGGATTATAATCAAGCATGATATATTAAAGGTAATACTTTACTTTAAATGGCTATACTGCATGGGCTAGTTGTGCTTATGAAAATAACCACAATCTGGTCCCACTGAAGAGTAAGCACTTTAATGTAATGTATTACCAAATGTTACTGTTAAAGTTAGCGTAGATCACATCGAAGAGCTTAATGCGATTAGACGAGCATTTATTTAAATGGTGATACACTCCCAATGCACGTTCAATCGTGAAAATCAATGAAAAATCAATCAAAATCAATGAAGGCGGCTCTCCAATTAATGTATGGGTCCAAAATGATATCACAACACAGCAAATAAATGGCATGCAGCTGTAGCTTTAGACTAAATTCATTAATTAATTAAATATTATAAATTATGGTACTAATTGTACATATTCACTGACAACAAACCATTTCATGCGCATGGGGTTCTTTTAATCACTTTTGCCGTAAGATAAAGAGAATAAGCAACTGTTTTACAAAAGCACAATATCATAAAGTGTCAAAATGGGCAACAAGAGGGTAAACAAAACATAATCCAAAACAAAAACAAAGATAATAGGAGCTTGAAAAATTATATAAAGCAGATTGTTTTTTACGTAGCCTAAAGGCATGAGGCAGATGAGCAGAAAGAAAAAAGTGGAAAAAAAGATGTGGAAAGATTCATTATTTACCTTTTTATTGCTCAAACAAGTCAAGCATTCATCGAGGGAAAGCACTGGCAAGCAGTTAAAACAGGCAAAGAGGCAAAAGAGGATGGTTAGAAGATAGGCTGAAAGTTAATAAATTGGGGAACAGACTCATAATCATTTAAAAATAAGGCAGAATTTAACAAAATATAAGAAAAAGAATAAGCAAAGTGAAAAAGAACCCCTTTTTTAAATGGCTAAACAACTTATTTATAAAAAGCAAACATTTTATTTCTGTATTTCAGTCCTTCTAAATAATCAAATCAACTCAATGTCTGTTACTTCACCAGTCAGCTCAGCCACATACACCATATCAATATTTCATGCCTTTTCACTGCAAATTGTAACCCATACAATAACTGAATGAGTGAATGTTTTTGTGAAATTTGAACACATGCATACATGCTCTCGGTGGTCGGCGGATCAATTGTAAGATATTATTACTTTGTTAGATTATTGTTAAAATAGAGAAGAAATCTCTCTTGTCACGTACCTCCTCGTTGTCAAGGCGACGCTCTGTGTCATTCAGGAACTTAATGTACTGACTAGTCAGAGTCATCAGTTCACTATATCGTGTACGTAGTGTTACATACTAAGGAAAAGGGCAAAACAATCATTTTAGGTTTGTTGTGTGGTGAACAATGTAACATTTGTTTTCTTAGATCCTTTACCTCTTGAATAATATTATCTGAGGCAGAATCAAGTTTGGTTTTCTTCAAGGGGGAAGATGTAAGAGGTTCCACTTGTGCTTTGTAGGCAACTAATTGAAGTTCATAATCCTATAACAAAAACATAGATTAATGCTACTTCATCAATACATCACTGAAAAATATTGGGGTTGCTTAACTTACTTTTATTGCATCAATGTAGGATTTGGCATATTTTTGACATTCATCTACTTTGTCTTTGTTATTCTCGATTTCTTCGAGTAGTTTCTACAATAAAATTGTGCATTTGTAAATGTTTGAAATGGATATATGAATAATAGGTCTATTTCAAATAATAAACAAAATACCTTCTCCTGAGTCAGCTGTTCTCTCATGGTTTTTGTGTCTGTGATCGGGATAGTTTGTATTCTCTCTTGTCTTAACTTGGCGTCATTGATCCAGTGGATGAGCCAGTCATAGTTTTCCCTGTAGTAGCCAAGTTGGCGGCCCAGCTGCTCGAGGTCCCTCTGACGAAGGTCGATCTGGGTGAAAACAGCTTTCCAGCGTTCTTGCAGGTTGGATAAGAGCTGACGGTAGTGGTCCAGCTCCACATCTCGCTCACTGTGCACGCGAGACATCTTGTCACTCACACCTGAAGCTTTCTTTAACTCCTCATCCAGAGAATCAAATACTGGCTGTTCAGCCTCTGCTTCAGTTCGCATTTTCTATTGAAAAAAAAAAAATATAAATGTAAACAACAATTCAGTATGATAGCATCATGATGGCTAAAATAAACATTGCAACCTTAAGCTTGGCTCTATAAGACTCCACTTCTTTGACGTCACTGGGAACAGTGTGAACCTCACGCAGGCAGTCCTCATATTGCTTGATAACTCCTTCGGCGCCCTGGGTGTTACGGATCACCATTTCCACTGTCTTCAGTCTGTGGGTATTTAGCATCTTAAGTATTTCACATTCACTTAAAGTTGTCAAACTCACTAATCAAGCTGTGTTTTCCACTAACTTCTCGAGGTAGACAGAAGAGAGCATGTGGGTGTGGTCCATTTTCTGGACTGTGAGGTCCAGCTCTGAGCGGAGGACAGGAGCCGAGGGCTGTGGGGAGTTCAACACCTGTTGCGTCTTCACGGAGACTTTATCCAAGTCCTTCTTGAGCCCCTCCAGTATCACATGCACTTTCTGCAATCAAATTCAATAATTTTACTATTAGTTCAAAATAAAATAACCTGGTCTAAGAGCAATGGCAATGGAAAAATGCTCTGTCTTTGCACACATTAAAAAACGTATATATAATAGTTATATATGCTCTATATAACTGAATAGTTATCACAACATTTTCATATAATGTTGTGAGCCCAAAACATGTACAGCAATGCTGTTTTTCTAATTAGATTTGGTGGAAGTCATATGGTTGTGTCTGTGTGTCTACACTATCTCAACAAGGTCCTGCAAACTGCAGCATACTTGTATCATTACACAGACTGAAAGGCAGCTGTTGGTTCGCAAGACTTCATGTGATGATTGGTGGATTCAGTTCCTCTTTATGAAGGGAGTTCCTCTAAGAGGTAAGATTTTTGGTTTGCTGGATGGTGTTTTATATTTTGTTGTCGTAGGGCACTATTTTACAGAGTTATTGATTACATGTTAATAGTTTAAATTATACAATCCTGGAGGGTGTAACACATCACTGCTGTCGACACCAACATCTATGATGTACCTCCCCAGAAAGGCCCAGCTGTTGTTGTATGTTCACAAAGTTTAGGTCCCCTCCCCCCTTATTGAGCTGGCTTCCCAAAAGCTGGCCTATGTAAAAGGGGCTATATTTACCTTCTGCTCAATATTCTTCTGGAGACAATCCTTCAGAGGTTCTGCTTCCACAGGTTTTCGGATTCGGCCGACAGTGCTGTTCTCACAATCTTCAATGTTCACGCGCAGGTCCTTCAGCTCAGAGATGTAGTTCTTACACAACGTCTCATCCTGTTGACCTGAATACAATATAGAGATTATTATACCTGAACCGTCTAGTATTGCAGAATTCAGAGTCTGACAAAAACAACAGCAACTGTCAATAAAACAGCCAAAAGCCAAATACTGTACTTTTTGCTAAGCCATAGCTACTTTTGATTCAATCTTTGTGTTTTTCTCGTGTTATCATTTTAACCTTGAGCAGAAAATGAGACTGTAAAAACCATGCAAAAATAGTATGTGCTTTTATTCAGTCACAACATGAAAACGGAACAGAATTTGATCAGCAGAGCAACATGCAGTCACTCGCTTTTAAGCGTGTTGACAGCCTATAGCTTAAGCGCTGTTCTGCCTTCAAACCACTCACCTTTGGACTTAAAAGACATTATTTCTGAAACACGAATTAGAAACATCAATTCTCTAATTATATATATAAAAAAAAAAAAAAAACAAGCAGCGGAATTCTACTGAAATTATGTTTGATCTGTACGTTTTTGCAATACCTTTCTCCATAGAGTGAAGGAGGTTCTCGAAATGTTGAGTTGCCTTGTTGTAATCCTGATCCACTTGCTTGCGGTCATTGGGTTTAAACATCTCAGAGTCCTGGCTGTCCTTCTTAAAGTCCTGGTAGTGCAGCTCCAGGTTCCTCATCACCAGCCTGTACTCTTCTGGCTTCATGGACTTCAACTTTACAGTGTAGAAAGAAAGCACAATTAGGAGAAGACTGTCATGCACCTCACCACAATTGTTTTCACTGGTTCTGAGCTGTGGACTGAAGACACATTTGTTCTATCTCACCAGTTACATCAGTGCCATATTCAGAAGGCCGTGACACAATTAAAAACAAATGTCAAAATATACAAATATGCATTTATTGGTGAAGACAGCCGCAATTGGCCCACGGGCCTTAGTTTGTGCATGCTTCGATAGTGTACCCAAAAGCGATCAGAAATAGCACAGTGAATGTACAAGTTAGTGCGAGAAGGAAAAGTTGAATACAGCTGAACGTATACAGTGAACTAGATTGAAATACACAACGTAGCACATATTTTCCTCTTATACTAACCATAGTAATGTTCCACGTGTTAATCTGTGTGAAGTCTTTCATCAGATATTGCCACGACAACAGACTCTTCATGTCAATGTAGAATTTCTGCCACATTAACACCATCTGCTGCTGCCCTCCGTCCAGACTAAACCAAAGAAGGACATAATGTGAATAAATTACAATGTATGCAAAAGATGTACAGTTAAAGTGTTCAGCTGTGATTTAGGCTGACCTGCTAATGCTGTCCAGAGCTTCCTTGTTGATGGGAGGGACCATGAAGCAGACAGAGGGGACCATAGACTCGTTTCCGGTCCGGTTAAGCACCTTCCACTTGAAAGGCTGCGAGTTGTTAAGTAGAGCACACTCGTCTCCTTTGTGCACGGTGATCTACACGGGAAAAAATACATCATCATATTTAGACATGCAAATGACATCGCACCATAATTCCAGGTGACCCTCTGGATCTTCTCCTGGATTTTTATCCTTTAATTTGATGTATAATGCTAGTAATATAGTAGTAGTAGTAAGTAAGTAATCTTTATTTATATACCGCCTTTTCACTGCACATCGGAGTCTCAAAGCGGTTTACAATTGTGATTTTTGGGAGTGGGGTCGCCAGAACAGGAGGCACATGCCAGACCTATTGTACATATTTTTAGTGGTAGGGGAAACCGGAGCACCCGGAGCAAACCTACGCAGACACGGGGAGAACATGCAAACTCCACTCAGAAAGGCCCTGGTCCAACCGGGATTCGAACCCAGGACCTTCTTGCTGAGAGGCGAGAGTGCTATCCACTCAGCCACCGTGCCGCCCGTAGTAATAATAGACACCACTATTCTCCCACCTCAATTTTATTTGTCCATAGTTTTTAGCGCTTTTGACTTGGCTATGCACATGTCATTTACAAATTCTCCAATATGCTCAGCCTGTAACAATTAAATATATACAGTACATTACCTCCTGTTGCTTGAAGTCACACACAGCCTGAATGGGCAGTTTTCCTTTGATAGCAGTAGTGGGGTTCCGTGGCTTCAGCTGGATGACGGTCTTAGCTCTCTTGTTGAGGCCAGTTATCATAGTCTTCAGTTCATTCAGCTGTTCTCGCTCTTCCTATTAACACATACGCACCCACATTATTGCAGTACAGTACTATTTATAATCGACTACTTGGTAAAACGCGCACCACCGCATCCTGCAGCAGATCCTCCAGGCGCGTGGCTGTTGTGTTGCGATCACAGCTGTACTTCTTTTTCATGGTGTCTTGCGTTTTTGTAATCTTGTCCTGGGCCTCCTTTACATCAGCAAAGAACTGTGAAAAGAACAGCAGATGTGAATGCTCTGAGCTACAAAAAGTGCTGAAGTTTCTGATGGTGGTCTGTGCAGTACCTGATAGTAAGCAGTGTTTTCCTTTAGGTGAGCCTCAGTGCAACAGCACAGTTGAAGAATCCAGCTCCACTGAGTCTGCAGAGCAGCTGTGAACGCCTAGATCAAAGAAAACAACAATAAATGATTCATAAAAAAGTGGTCGAAAGTATTTCACTTTTCGTATTATACTGTATATGTAATGTGTGAAATACCTCAACGGTCTTTTTGCCAGGATGAACATCTCGAACAAGTTTGTCACCCATGATCTGGATATCATTGACCTTCTTCTCCCTATGTTCCAGCTCTCGCATAAGACCCTAAAAAAATAGAAACAAATTATTTCAAAGTCTTTATAAATATCACATCAATCATACAGTGTGACACATACAGAGTAGTTGTCTTTCTTAGCGGTCATATTTGTGTTCTTGTCGCTCCAGTCGTAGTTGACCTCCTCTTCCTCTTTGTCATTAAGCCACATCAGTTCTTTTGTAGCAGCACTGACAAATGCATGAAGTGATTCCAAGTTTCTCAGACGAGACTTTGAAGAGTTCTATAAAGTAATTGTCAATTTTAAACAAAACTGTAAAAGCTTCCTAAAAGGTCTGTATGTAATTTAAGACAGAAATGACTAAATTTACCAGTAGTTTTCCATATTGCAGGTCCAGTTTACCCAGGTAGTCTTTATATGTGCCTTTGCTAATGGGAGATAGTTGATTCTGTAACAGAATACATAGTTATATTTGAAATAGATATAGTTTATAATGTGTGCTTATCTAAGATAAATTAAGGATTACCTCATCTGTCTTGGCTCGCTCAATCTTAGCCTTGAAATCTTCCACAGTTTGGTGCAGGCCGCGATGGCTGCCCAGCTGGGACTCCACAGAGGGCTGGTCTGAGCCCCACTCTCCCTCATCGATGCGGTGCTGGTTCTCCTCCACCCAGGCCAAAAGGTCCTGGACGTAACGCAAAGTGACATCATCCAGTTCTGGGCGCACCTTTGAAGTGTTCTGCTGGACTTTCTGTATCACTGTAGTCTGAGGAGCCTTTAGACGAAGGTTGTAGTCACTGCGCAAGTTAACCAACCTCTCGTGTATCCGGTATACTCTGTAGAAATGAGGCAGTTAAAATGTTTTAGTTTTCAAAATTATGGGGATTACAAAGGTGTTTCTATTGTACACACACCTGCGGTACATCTGTTCGGCCTGAGGGTGGTGTCCATCTTTAAGAAACTGGACGTCATTGAAAAGCAGGCGGATCATGTTATCTGCCTTGTCCAGCTCCCTCCCCACTTCTGCTGTGTGTTGAGCTGGCTTCCCTGCATTCAGCAGGTGAATGTCCTGGAACCAATTTCAGTAAGTGAAGTTAGTGAAAGAAAACTAACTATACAATTTAAAGCTACCACTTTCATTTTCCCTAGAGAAACATTTTCATAACCAATATGTGTTACTATATCTCACAGATTAGATGAAAACATGCACATGCCTAATATACATACAGTCATACTCCTCTATCACATTAGATATTTGATGAAAATAGGCAGGTGAGGATCAAGTTTTTATTATTCAAAGTATGACATTATTTTCCTTCATTCCTTATGGGACAATTTGGATGGGTATGAAAAGTGTACCGTCTGACCAACAGTAGAGTCCCCTGGTCTGTGTTTGTAAATAAATGAATATAAGAGTGACTTACAGTTTGCAGAAGGGCCTCCAGATGACTGAGCTGATCATCGGTAACACCCGATTCCATTTGGATTTTGTTGAAAATCCTCTGGAGTCGTTCAAGTCTGTGTCAAAAACACAAAAACACATGTAGTACAAAAGTAAAAAAAGAACAATATCTCAACATCCTAGCAACATTTAATTAAACTATATCATAAAATACAGCTCACATCCATCTATGCTTCAGCAAGTACTCCACTCTATGAGAATCTGTCACAAACGCCATGATATCAAAGCTGGTGTCTGTCTCTGCTGCAGACTCAACTGTTTCTGCCCAAGGATTCATTCCTTTTCTAAGACCGTAAACAAAACTTCAACATGAGCAAATATCCCATGACTTCCCTTGTTCCAGAAAAAAACTATTATTATTTCAAAACCGGGTCTAATTCAATTTAATCTCAATCTTATGACATTGGGCATTTAGATAATAGTTTCAAAATAATTATTTTTTTATATTTCTAATACTTCAGTGAGAGTACAATCTACTTTCAAGATGTTAAAAATCCAAAAATAGGGTTTCAGACTGGTCTTACTTTACCACTTTAGAACAATGCATGACTTGAATTACCTTTCAAACTCTATTCTCAGCAGACGTTCCCTCTCAAGAATGGCGACATGCAGCCTGCCCCATTCCTTCTCCACATCAATGGGATGGTAGCCTGGTGGGACCTTCACCTGACCAGAATGCACTGCACTCTGGGTGAAATAGTTGAGAATCCTGTGTCATTTGATAACTTAAAAAAACTGACAGCAATAGAAAACATACCTCAAAAGTCTGGTAGATTTGTTTTGAGTGGTTCTTGTCACCTTCCTTTACTGGCAATTCTGTCTCCTTGAATTTAAGGAACTGGCGCCACAAAAGCTGAAAATTGATTTATTGTATTGTTATGGACGAACCAATCATGGACACAGGACCTACATATAATTATGAATAAATGTATACAATACTTTTGAACAATTCTAACACACAGAAAAACAGAATCTAAACAATAATCAGATGTTATTCTGTGGCCAACAGGGCTGGGTCGAGAGGAGACTCTTATTGTGATCTCTGCCCCACCTATTTAGTACAATACAGTGATTAGACAATGGACACATAGTTTCTGTCCACTTCTATTCTCTGTCCCTCTAAAAACGATCAAATATCTAATTAACTAAATTTCAAAGGTAACAAAGATTCTTAGCTGACTTGACTTGTCAATTTAATTGAAAAGTACATGTAACTAACTTCAGATCAAATCTAGCTATGCATGAAACACAATTTAACATTACCTCGACCTCCTCATAGCTGGTGGGAAACTTCTTTTCCCCAAAGATGACAACATGATGCCGGATCCACTGCAGCAGAAGTGTCACCAGCTCGTAGTACTCCTGCCAGCGAAGCTCCAAGTTCTGCAGTGAGAAAGACAGAGGTGAGTCCACTGCAGGCAGTGCAGGTCTTTTTTTCTTCATGTCTGGAGACTCCAACTCTCACACTGCACTTAAACTCAATTTGGTCTCAACAATTCAGGTCTTGTAGAAGTGGCAAGTAAACAGAGCAAAGAAGCAGCTGATGCAGAGTGAAACTTTAGTCTTAATCATTTGAAATGTCGAGTGTGTGCGGTTAAACAAAACACAAGTTATCCAATAATCAAGTCTCCAATAATGCAATAACATGGCTGATAATATGATGCTCATTAATTCATTGGTCTGTGTTGTATAAGCCTAAACATCAAAGGTTGGTAATAATAACTATACTTGGTTTCACAAGACCTCTATTTCTTTCTGAAATACAACTTACAGGAAAGTGAAGTCACACGCTTTCTGAGCTCTTAACGGATCTCATTTAGATAAGTACTTAATCAGATTTGCCTTGTTTGTTTCCCATATTGTTAAAATATGGGAAACACATTGACGCCGGAAGGTGGCGCCATTGTGGAGACTCTGGATGGAAAATAGCATGATGCTAAATCTGGTGTAGGCATCTTTTTAATGCAACTAACCGCTGTCCCTTAAATAAATAAACTTCAACTTAAAAAAACTCAGTGCCCACTTACATTAGCTCTGGCTCCATCGGTGACATCAATGCGTGGCATGACGTCGTACAGGGATGAGACATATGTAATGATGGACTTCTCATCAGGGTGAGCCACATCAACATCTAATAAAATCATACATTTTATCAACTGAAACAAGCATAAAAATAAATTAAACAGAGAGTTATGAGATCGTACCTTCTGGATCCAGAAGGCGGGTGACTCCCAGGTCACGCTCTGCCACCCCAAACGCCTGCTCCAGGTTTTCCAGGTTGCTTTGCCTGTACACTTGGCCCATATCGATAAGTCTTGGGCTGTGGAAACATCATTTATCAGGGTTAAAGGAGGCTCAGAAGGTGAAACTGAATGAAACTATGTGTTATTTAGTATTCAGCACAATCAAGCACAAACTTTGCTGTCAAAACTATAATGTTTTAGAGATAAAAGTTTGAGCAGCACACGAGTCATTAAATGTTGATTATATGACTCCTGCCAGCGGCTAAAGATGAAGCACCAGCTGCTTATGTTCTGCAGCTGCATTTAGACCTCAGGGCAAATGATTGTGAGCCACATCTCTTGAACTAAAGAAAGAACGTCATCTTCAGTACAGAGCCGCTACAAGATCCCAAGACAATTATACACCCAAACAAGCCATGTAAAAAGTCATGAGATTGTGACCAGTGGTATAATACACACCAAATGAATGTAAATCATTTCTACACATAAATCTTACACTCTAGTCGTCCGATCCCAATACAACGGTCGCACAGGATTCAACCTCACCAGCCTTTCGTCCCAAACAGAATACTGCTTCATGGGTCTACAGGAGCTGCTCATGCCTGGAGACCGGCTTGCTCCGTGGAAGCTGTGAGACTTCTGCCCTTGTCCCAGTTCGTCACCAGTGGAGCGCATCCTGGAGCTGTTTGGACCCCGCCCCAAGTCAAGCGATGCCCCCAATGATGATGCCTCTGATGGGATTTCCTCACACACCATGACCACTTTGTCCACCTCGCTGCTTGAAGATCTGCTGCTAAAACCAAGACTTCTGTTTCGCAATTTGGACTTCTTCTTCAAACTTAGCATCTTGCCGAAATTGTTGTAAATAAAATCAAAGTTCAAAAGGTCCATGCGTGAAAAATACGCTTCCAGTTAATCCAAATGAAAACAACCATCCCGTACAATCTTACCCTTCTCTCTACATGGCAGAACAAAATCAAAATGGACTCTGTTTCTCTGCAACGGATGAGCACATTTCCTGAAATTCTATGCGCTGTTTTGTGCCCAGACTCAAAGTTACTCTGGTGTTTTCAGGCTACAGCCATACAAAGTTACAAAAACGCCCACACACCACACCCCTACCCTTTATAACATTCAACCTCACAATAATGTCTTTGAAAGAGAAAAAAAAAAGTGGGCGAGTCAAATCACGAAAACCTGCCCCTACAGGTACATCTTATTCCACTTCATAATTCTTCAAGGCCTAACCTCAGCTTTGGAATATGTAGATGTTTCCATGTGATTGTATTTTGTGTGTATTTACAGTCAACATTGATGCTTTTATGGGTTTTGTATAGTTGGGTCTTTTTTTTTACACATAATTGTGTGTTTAGAAGAAAGACGGATTTAAGTAAAGTATAACAGACATTCTTTCTACACAAGTTGGGGCAGCTGTTCGTTCAAGTTCATTCAAGATTTACATTATTTGAAAGATGTAGATGGATGTCAAGCAGTGTTCAATGATGTGTGATCTTTTGTAATACAGATTAAATACTGTCACACATTTACATGGTAAGGTGCCACAAGTGATCATTCTATTGTGGTATGAATAATAATCAAGTTAAGAACACACAGGACCACACAGCATAGTTTTTTAGCCTTGTTTTCCCTTGAGGGTAATACATACTGTACATGACCTTGTTCAATCCCTCAAGTGTAATTTTTCATATAGGAGGCTCGAACAAAATTTTTTACGATGTTATGTGTGACTGGTCTTTACTTACTGGTGCTTGTGGATGACAGCGTTGAACAGTTTCCCGTCCCTCCAGCTGGTGGTGAAGTTGGCACAGCGGATTCCCTGGTAGTCGTCTGTCATCCTCTGGGACCAGAGGAGCAGCTTCTCCTTGGCCGTCATGTCCTCTGACTGGCCATTTATCTGAATGTCTGAGATCTAACATGTCAAGAATGGAACATGTGTCAAAATTATGTTATTATCATTTTCATCTTATACTGTTCAAGAATATAGGAAATACATTAGTTATTAATTGAAACCAAATGATCTTTCTAAAAACCAAATTGATGAATCCCAAGTGTTATCAAGTGGAATTGTATGAGGAAAATATCTGTTGATTAGTTTGATGGATATTATTCAGGTTTGTAAACTACTTTAAAGGCATGATAACTCTCCTCATTCAATAACACTTCATAGCAATTACTTTTAAAATCACTCAGATTTACCACATTGTCTCACACAACCCATTGAAATGACTTCACAGGAATAATTCCACACCTTGTCACACAAAATCTTTGACTATCTGACTTAAGAACTACATTTGAAAAAAAGAGGTAGAATATTGTGTCTCCAGGGCATTCACCAGATCATTTAACTAAACCACGCCTCTTTTGGAGTATTCAATCTTGGGTTTATGGAAACTTGACAGAAGATTAAGGGCACAGAGAATGTTTGCAGCCATAACAGACCGTATTATGAGAGGATATGGTTTTAAGCACTGCATGAGAACACACCCTGGAGATGAGTGCTACAGAGAGTGACTCATACTATTATGTACTATTGGGAGCCAATGGCACTACTCAACTACACATTAGTGAACTTTGTTAGCCTATGTTGACGTGATTAACTGTGACAATGAGAGGAATTGTGAAGAGCAGGATCCGATGCCGGTGATTCCAGGAAATGGGAAATGGCAGCCGATAGTTGCAGATCCCAGAGACGGAGGAACGGAGTGATAATAAAATAAAATACAACACTGACAGATGAGGAGACCTGGAAGTGAAGGATGATGGTCCATATTAACCCCAGAGTGAGTTTAGGGTTTCCGTCTGCGATGTCATCATTTCGGATGTTGACGAGCTTGACCTGCAAAAACACGATATAAAATCTAATCATTTAACATCATGAATATTAGGTCCATTGTTCTCAGCAATAATGTGCAGAACATGTATCCCTCTATCTGTGCTTTAATTGGAAGCAAAATGTAAAAAAAAAGGAAGCATTATTAAATCCGTATTTTGTACAAACCTGTCTGTGTCGGAGGAAGTCCAGTGCTATCTGTACATTCTGTAGTTTGTGGAATCGCATGCGGCCTTTCTCTCTGGGCTGGAAACACAATAAACAAAAACATAATTAAAGATCTTGCAGTTGGTTGTGGAAGAAGTGGTTTTGAAAGTGGAGGCCAGGACCTTAGTGTTGCATATGATTTGAGCACATAACTCTATAAATTGACATACAACATTTTTAGATTCTCTTTAATTATTTTGAATAAGATAAGACACTGTAAACGTTTTTTTTAAAAAAAACAATCATCAACATATTGCACAGATCTAAAATATAAATGTCTATCTACACTTGCGCTGCTCAACTCAGCTAAACTGCAGAGGAACTCCAGAATCAAAGGCCAGTAAAAAACACACTTCTGATATCTTCAATTTTCAATCAATCAGAGTGATTGATTGAAAACATTTGCTTGATTGCCCAATCCTACAGTAAATTGTTATACTTTATACTTCTAGTACTATTTTTTCTGACTGCTTGTTTTGTCACATGAATAATTGTAACCCCTGCTGTATTTTACAACAACAAAAAATGACCCCAGGAAGGCTAACTGGCTATTAGTCTCAGCTAATATGAATCTTAATATTATCCAGATTATTTTTTCTGCATCTTTGAGAGTCCTGGTTTGAAAAAGTATAAAGACAAAGACTGAGATATAGAAACACAATACATAAACGCAACCACAATTAAGTGCAAGATTAATTGTGCAATTGTGCAAGTACAAGATGTGGTGTAATTGACAACAGTATTTTGTACTCAGAAAGTGCTCCAAACATCCAAATGAAAAAGACATTGAAACAAACTTCAAATGACCATGTTGGAATCACTGCATTGAAGTCTACAAAGACAATGACAGTGGAAGTCTGGTAGATAGCACGGGCGAATCTGGAGCGCAGAGTAATTCAGACTCACCATACGAATGCTCCTGACCATATCTCTTTCCCGCAGCTAACAAGAGGAATGCAAAGAGAGGAAAACAAGCCACACAGCAGACATCAGCTCACACAAGCAAAGGTCATAGAAACGCATACACCAGGAGGAAGAAGATCAGCCAACGGGGTGGAGGCAATGTGATTGTTGTTTTTGGAAAATGAGCAGAGCTGAAGTTGGAAAAGGAAAGAATCAAGTCTTCGGGGAAGCAACAAGTACCATAAGAAAGCACTGAATCAACAGGTCAGCTCAAATGTACTGTAAAAGACATATTGAGATGAATCTAATATTGAGCCGTTTAATGTGACTGGATAGTGAATAACAGGCACAATTTGAATTTAAATGTTCCTTGTTTTTGTTTTTTCTTCTCACAAATAGTAACAAACCAAAAGTAAAGTTGAACATCACACACAAGTTGAACTTACCAGTGTATCCCCAGAGAGGACTTCCAGCAGGGAGATCAGGTTATGCCCATCCCGGAGGTCTTCATAGAGATCGGTCACATGGCGTTGAGCCTGCATACAATATAACCCATTGATTTATTAATGAATATTTAGTTACTAAGAAGTTCCACCATGCGTGCACAAACAACTGTATTGAAGAGATGTAAACTTCACACAATTCCATACCATATTGTGAACAACTTGTGATGACAGGTGAAAATTTGAATTAGTACAAAAGAACGTGATAACTATTTGCCGTTTTTTGTGGCTAAATCTCTGTGAAGCATAATGCATGCAATAACACTGCTGATGGAACATTGTGGATACACTCATGCCATAATGTGCTTGAGGACCTACCTCCGGCTTCTACAGGCCGCACAGAAAGAGAATAAAGTAGAATGAGGAGATGGAAAGAGAGGAGAGAAAGCACGGGGTTAATGAGAGAGACTGAATCATACACAAGATATGATTGAATTTGTTATTCTATGGTAAATATTAAATACTGGACTTAAAACACATGTAGCTAAAGTTAAAACAAAGGATTTTACACGTTTGCAAACTTGACATTGCTACGTATTCTTGACAAAACTCAAGAATCCACTAGAGGTCAGTGCCTGCCTGCTGTTGAACAGAATCTCTGCATTACAACAACTCCATAGTATAATCATGTAACCCCATACATGGTTTAATGTTTCCTTTGAAGACACACCCCCCCTGTCTTCTCAAGTTGTTTACACAGAGAACACACACATGTGTCAGCACACTCCGTTTGTCCTGCAAAGAATCTGCCGTCCTGTCACCACTGAAAGGTGGGCGTATCTCTACAAATTGGTCTCTTTAAAAGCACTTCTTTGTGACCTGTGTCTTGAGTGAAAACCATTAGCACACATGGCTGACATACGGTTATCCTCATCCCCTGTGTCTGTTGTCTGGGGGCAAAACACGTAACATGCCGAGACTTCAGGAGTGTTGTGCAATTTCCCTCTCAGTGATTGGTGAGAAAAGGCTTTACTTCCCTGTTCAGTCTCCCATACTACAACATGATTTAATGAGTCTATGTAACCACATCTAGCCCTTTAGAGCTCTCCACGGATGCAGCCACGTTAAAGGCCACTTATGCCACGCTAATAAATCATGTTGGCTCTGCACAATAAATAACAATTCTATATTTTCTACTCTTGTTCATTTAAATTTTTGTTTGTTTCATAATTACATTTTGTTTATCACAACAGATAGAGTCTTATTTCAGGTAAAAGTCTGTGAACAAATCAAACCACAATATGTCTTTATCTTATTAGAAAACCAGTTCACTTGGTCACTGAAGAAAGTGACCTAAATATGCCCTTAAAATACATGCATGTTGGAATACACAAGTGATTGAACCAAACAGTTATATTCCTTTTGTGGTTTCGGTTAAGATAGGTACTGCAGCTTAAATTCTATTTATTATTACTATTCCAATTGTCATCTACATAATGTTTAAAACGGAAAAGTCACAAGTGGTGCACTTTTGGAGCAAAAAAAGTTTAACTAAAATGAAAATAATTATTTTTTTCCTAAAAACTAATAAGTCTGAAAGTCAAAGTCTCTCAAAAGAACAAACGTAAATAATATATTCGACTAAATTTAATATTGTGCCAGTCCTTAACATTTCACAGCTTTCACATTAGCCTTACTACATGTGCTACCGTTCACCCTGACCACAAAGAGCCGCCTTTTCAGAAAAGTGTGTCCAGATGTCTATGACTCACTCTACACAAGTGATGGGGAACACTTAGGATTAATACGTCAGTTCCCCTCCACTGGTAGAACAGCCCGTGGTGTATGGAAAGGAAAACACCTTTGGGCTTATTGCCTCTTGTTAAAATGATGATGAAAAAATGAATAGAGCAATGACTTCGTAACGCTCTACAGTGGAAACCAACCGGCGGTGGAGCCTAAATGTAGATGTGGTAAAGAAGAGCTATTTGAAGCAATGGTTAAAGTAGTGATATTCTTACTATACCCATCTTTAGGGACCAAACAAAATGCTAAGTTAATATTTTTAGTTCCAGAGATGAACATGAACAACACAAATTACATATTTGACATCCCGCTATTGGTGGTTTCCTGAGCAGGGGTATTATTACTACTCTCTTTGTTTAGACATAATTTTTCACTGGTAATGACGAAGCCTAGAGTGAGGGCTTCCTTGTTTGCAGTTTGATGCATTGAAAGACACTTGGCGTCAGAGTAGAAACATAGATGAGGTAGGTGAGAGGAGACAAATGTGACTCTCGCGTTTGAATACTGGTAACAGAGCTTTGCCTCTCCTTTTCAGTGCCATGTGAGGGACCGTGGGTTCGACAAAGGCTAAAATGAGGCGAGGAAGTGAAGACCGTGTGTTATACATGTCGTGTTTAACTGTATCAGTGAAAGATGATATGGGCTGCAAAGTGCATTCAGGGTCACAGTCATTGTACCAGTGTTGACGAAATCGTTATCAGTTAGAGTTTATGGTTGCAATGCATGCTGGTTGTAAAACCTTAAGAAACTTTCCGAAAAGTCTGTACACATGTATGAATGGAAATGACAATTAAAAAATCTGTACTTTTGTTTAATTAACAAAATGTTTGTTATCTGACAATGGGTATTGTAAGTGTCTGTATAGTTCAAGTCTTTGTCATATGATGTTTTATTTTTACAATTTCAATAGATCTTTCAAAAAAAGAGGAAAAGCTGGGACTCTTACATTTATCAAGTGTTTGTTGACCCATTTTGTGAAGGTCTTCTTTTGTACGCTGTCCCGTTCATCTGCAAAGAGATAAGACATATTAGACATGTGATCTTAAAATTAGATTGAAAGACTACACAATTAAGGACATGTTTTTAAAAGTTTACTTTTACAAAAATATATGTGCAATAACATAGATGCCATTTGTTTTGATCATAAAGTTTTGAAAATAACGTCTGTTGAGTGTGAAGGGGCGTCACACCTGCTTGTGACTCAGACCATATCACTGTATCATCAGATGAGCCCTCATTGTCTCTGTAGGACACACCAGCTGTCTGCAGACTGCAACAACTCACAACATGACCCGATCCATCATAAAAACGCCTTCATTCAAAGTGAAAACACGGCTTAGAGACATGTGATTTACCGACAAGAAACAGCAAGATCTCCACACGCATCACACCCTTGTGAGTGCTTGATGCTCCCATTGGCTTTGCAAAGAAACCGCAAGGTGTGTCAGTGATGTCTATACACAGACTGGGATCAAATGGTTTAATAAGAGTAATACGGTTGACTTAATTTCTAATGCTAACATCTTCAGAAGTGCATAAATGCCACTTCAGTTTACACTAAATAATTCGACTGTAAATATCCCACGCACATAGGCAAGTTTACACACTTTTACAATGGGGAGGGGTTACGAGAAACCTTCCTAATGTTATAGATGATTCTATGGAAACTCAAACTCAACTAAGCATACCTTTGACCTCTCTATGTGTCATTAAGGATTGCGTATGCCTCCAGCGTTGTACATTCTGACAACTGAGGAATCAAAGTAAGAACTTTTCAATGTAATAGTTTACATTGAACAGTCACAGAATTACAGATAATTGTGGGTAAAGAAGGCATCTTATATCAAGTATCAGCAGATACAAACAGGTTTCACAGAAGAGTAAAGTCTGCAGTACAAAACACAAGTGGACAAGCTGGTGCATGGTTGACCTTTAGGAAGTCACAAGCCACAGCCAACAATCAAAATTATATTAAATCATTCCTAGTAATATTTCAAAGACAAATGGATTCAGAATAATCTGTACTACGCAGTTACTTTACAAAACAATGTTAAGAGACACTGAGGCAATAGGAAAGGAGTGGTTGCCCATTTAGAAACATTGGAAAAACTGCATTTCCATAAGTCATCAATGAGAGTAATGTAATGAGATGAATTGGACAATAGTTTATATTTTTATTCTAATCTAAACACAACTAAAACAGAAACAATACATATATTCAAATACTATTTTCACAACATAATTTGAAGATTCCATTGATTATTCATTCATAAAACATCCATAATTACCCTTCCTTCCATCCATTGACTTGAGCATCCCCTGATAATAAACGTCATCTGAAGCCATCCTTTCTCTGCCAAAGCTATCAGCAGAGCCATTCCTGTATCTCTGCTGTTGAGAGTTCATTGATGCAATATTTTCTCTGTATCAATAAAATAAAATCCCGCAGTTCAGTCCTCGCTGTGTCGTCCCTTCGTCTCTCCTGTGGTCCAAAGCTTTTAACACGCCTATGATTGTTCTCTTCACTCTGATTGGGTTGACTCTGCACTTCCTTCTTTTCTTTAACTTTATTCCTCCACTGAATGGTGCCTGTGGGCTATAAAGTCTGGGCCTGTCCCGTTGTGAGATGTTTGAGTGTGTATTTAGTGGTGTGGTTTGGGACATGGATGTGGGTAGGGCTTTTGGACACACCCCTTTCTCTTCTCCTATGTTTTGCCTGGACAGGGAAGATGCAGGAGCACAGAAGATGAGGTGTGGTAACCCACATGCATTCTGGGGTAATCAAGTTACATGTACGTATATGAACTATGTAATGGGAAAAGTGACATATTCTAGTGGAAAGTTCATAGATGTGACTTTACTACTAGTATTGACACACACACAGAGGTTAATTATTACTTATTTATGGCATTCTTCAGACGTTTGACACCATGTGACTCACAGTGACACTAGAGCTGGGAGGGGAGTGTCATGGGGGAGCGATGAGACACTTTGAAAAAGGACTTGAAGCAATTCCAGAAGTAGATGTACCACAAACACGCCCTGGACACAGTACTTGCCAAGAAGCATAGCCGTAGCTGGAAGTAGAGGCTATGGGTTCACTAGAATTGGTGACAACCAAGTATATCCCTTGTGTTCAATCACTCTCAGTACTGTAGAAAAACTGTAGAATTTAAGAACCTGAATCCTGCCCCCCGGTGATAGCTTTGAAAGTGTCTCCTTTCCCAGATACATGACGCACACAGTACATGGTACATTTGCTTGTGCAAATGTTTTAATTTATGATCCTTCTCACTGCCAGGGACTGCAGATGTGAATTAGCCTTGGCAAATCTATAATAAGAAAGAATTTTTTTTATCAGGACGTCCTCCGGTGGTAATCGCTAGTTACCGCTCTTGTAAAATGTAATTCGACTTCCACTAATCCCATATTATTATAATAATCTCCAATATGAGGCAAAGAATCTATATGTTCAACATGCAGTTACAGGCTGGGTGTGTCCACTCCGAGATGCATAGATCTTTCCTCTTCAGACTGACACCTTTATCAAGATACTAGACCATTTTCTTCAGAAGAGAAGAAGACAAGAGACCTGCACTGACACGAAGAGCACTTAATGGGATAGTGTAAGTGTGTTGACTCATTTTAAGCCGCGTTTGCAGATTTGAGACACACCTTTGTAGATCTTCAATGTTGGGGCAAGTTAAGGAATTAGGGAGTGGTAAAAGTTGAATATTGTGATTACAAAAGAACAGTGTGATCACAAACCTTTTCCTTAAAAATTATATATACTAATAATACCTCTACCTACGTATATTACTCTATTCATTATTCAGGTTATGTGAGATGCAGTGTCAAAAGCGTGAGCTAGTAACAGAGCTGGCTGTAACACAAGTGCCAACATCGACCCAAGTGTGATTTCCAAACCTCAGGGGAAACATTAGGAGAGAACCCACATGGGAACTGTGCAGGATGCAAACTCGCTGGAACATCTTAGTCATAAGCACTTTGTTTAAAAAAGGACACATATGATTAAGGTCTCGGCTTGCTTATTACCCTTGCCTTCATCTGGTTCCATCAAAACCAGATGGAGAACTTGGGTTTTTTATACAGTGGAGAGGAGAGGGCAAACGTGAGGAAAAGTACTGTTTTTTTTAGCTTAATGACAGCTTAAAAAGTCAGTTTGTCCAAGTTAAGTGGATGGTATTTGTGCATTACCGAGCGGTCACTCTAACACAATGGATAAGTCTTGCCTGCACAATCTTTAAGCTATTTGTTTCCTGAGACATATTGCATTACGGTGTTATGTAAAATTCCATACTAAACAGATCCAACCACAGACACACGATGGACAGGTTCTGCCTTCCAAAAAAAGCCCTATTTTTTCCTACTCATCCTCCCATTTTTTGACATCGTGGAGTTTACTCAAGGATTAGATTTTGCTTTTGATATGAACTTGCCAGCTAAGCATGTATGGATAGTCTTGATTGTAAGTGTTATCTATCTTTGAATTAAAGGATTTACTTGTACAACAATCAGAGTTATGTGGGTTGCCCGATTATTGAGGGCTTTATAAACAAGGATTATAAAGTCAATCCAGCCTGTAAGGGGAGCCAGTGGACATCATTCAGAATAGCTGTAATGTGAGAACTACACAATTTTGAATGAGCTAAAGGCGCTGGATTAATTTACTGTAAGAGAAAAAAAAGGCATTACAATAGTCAGATCTACTAACATTGCTCTTGTCTTTATGCATCTTTGGTAGAGAGGAATCCATGAATTCTAGACATGTTTTGAAAGTCAAAAAAGGAAAATGTTGAAAATGAATTGATGTTTAAGATTTATTCCCATGCAGAAAGATGCATTGATTGGCCAGGTGATTGTACCCACAACCAATTGGAAGGACTAAACCACAATGTCCCCCATTATCTTCATTGTGAGCAGGGACAGACTTTTGATCTATCCTGTTTTGACCCCATGCTCTTTTTACTCAATGTGGGCGAAAGAGGAAATCTTTTATGGCAATATGTATCCATCACCACACCCCTCAGAGAAAGGAATGCAGATAAAAGTACAAGCTGCCAGGACACACCCCAGATTATCACCTTAGATTTTGCTTTAAAAAGTTGGAGAGGTCATGGGAGGAGAAGCTGCACTGTGTCTTCCATTAACAGATAGTTTTGCAATGCGTGGGAGGTCATAGCCATACATTTCCTGAGTGCAAATGGTTTAAATCTGCTATAATGTGCGCAATGTTGACATTTAAATTTCTCCACTGTGACACAAATAAAGGTCTATCTTATATTATTTCATCCTAACGTGTTTTATTATGAAAGAAACAGAAACTTTACAAACGAGAAGTTATATATATGTCATGAATAACGTGTGCCATTGCTGTCCTGAGTCACTGTCCTGATAAGGTGTGCAGCCTGTCAGGGGCTTTAAATAATGTTGTCAAATTAGATCGCACAATAATCACGCAATAGTCAGGCATAATTGCTCACAACAGCTGACTTATGAAATAGGCCCAATGTTGATCTTCTCAAGCCTCTGTAGAAAGCCTCACAAGTGGGACTTAACCTGTATGTCAAATGATAATAGTTCCATTCATACATACTGCATACATGTGGATGATTAAACACTCACAATACTGCCTTTTAGTGGACAGAAGCTGCAAATAGATAAGTTGAGAAAGGTGATAGTTATGCACCATTGAAGAGAAATTTGTTGTAATGATATGGTAGTGAGTTAGTAGTAAGTAAAACATGTAAGTACTACTTATGGGCATGTAACTGCAAGCCATCAAATTCTAAGCGCAGATTTATCTTGTGTGTCTCTTACTTAAATACTTTACTTTTTTGTTTCATATAATATACTTTTTTTGTCTTAAACAGAAGGAATAGTTTAGCAAGTGTTTATTAAATAATATCACGGCATGCGTCTTCATATTCTTACAAAAGATTTTTTCCTTACACACTGAGAGCTGATTGGTTGAGTGAGGGCAGGCA